TACTTTCGTTTCAATATTTTACTAGTTTTGACATAGGATCAATGAACTGGAGTGGGGTAGAATGCTTGTCAATAGACTTGATGTGCGACTCTATGGGTGAAGATAGGTTATTTTTCATCTCACTCGGGAGTATTTAAAATAACCATTTTCTATTTCACATTGTTATTGTCTGATCCACCAGCTTGTGGATTGAACAATAACAATGTGAAACAGAAAATGGTTATTATAAATAGTCCCGAGTGAGATGAACAATAAAAATGGCTGCGCCCATAGAGTCGCACCTAGTTCTAATAGTACAACATGTACATTGGCATTCTACCCCCCTCCAGTTCATTGCATAGGATCACGGCGTACCCTATGACGACCTTGTTTTTTTTGTCTACACTCTTCATCGGTATCGATACTTTGGTCCGGATACTCTTTCAAAACTTTGGTTGCGATACTCTTTTCGATACCGGTATCGATACTTTACTGTTATCGCAACATCCCTAACCAAAAGCAAGTTTCTTATTTTTCTGGCCACACCGCCTTAGAAATTCAATACACAACCATAATATAAGAAACATAACTCGCTAATAAATAAGACATCTTAGCACTGCCATCGTCCCTTTGACAGACAGCTGACCGGCCCGATCCAAATGTTTTCGCTAAAATATTGATTATCTAACGCCCTCGTATTTGTAATTCTTACCATAAGCTTCGTTCGCGGTAACAATCCTGAACTGATTCAGAATTAGTAATTCATACTTTGAGCGCATTCCCGAATCATTATCAATTCTGAATTTTTACCGCGCACGCAATCCCTATTATATCTCGGTGTTTCAGGTATAGACAAGCGATTCAAAATCAATAATAATTTTACCGCGAACACAGAATAGAACCAATAATTCAGTTCTTTTTGTTCCGCGAACGCTTTTTAACTACTGCGCCCTATAATTAACGCATTAGCAATAAAAGGGGTATCAGTAGTCCTGTGTCAGTGGATAAAAGCCAGCCTAGAAGAAAGGGTAATAACATCATCTCTAGGCGAAGCTACATTGACAGCTAAAGCAGGCAGGGGCTGTCCCCAGGGAGGAGTACTATCACCCCTTCTCTGGTCAGTCCTAGTGGATGAACTTATAAAAAAGGCTAATATCTGCAGATTTTTACTGCCTAGGGTATGCCGATGACCTGGCGATCGTCGTAAGAGGCAAGTTCGCAGGTACAATATCGGAGCGCACACAAACCGCTCTAAACATTGTCGACGAGTGGTGCAGAGAGGAGGAACTAACAGTAAACCCTCACAAAACCACAATAGTCAACTTAACAAAACGAAAAGTACCAACAGGACTAAAGTCACCAGTACTGAAAGGAGTGAAGATTCCATTCGCTCAAGAGGCCAAATACTTGGGAGTCATCTTTGACCACAGGTTAACATGGAATCAACACTTGCAAAAAGTCACCCAAAAGAGCACAACGTCCTTCAACTTATGTCGAAGGTTGTGTGGAAAAAATTGGGGATTACAACCAAAAATGTCCCTGTGGTTATATACCAGAGTCATAAGGCCGATGATAACCTACGGGTCGGTGGTATGGTGGCCAAAGACTAGGCAAGCTGGAGCCATTCGACAGCTCAATGGTATTCAAGGGCAAGCATGCCTGAGTACCACGGGAGCTATGAGAACGACTCCAACAGCAGCTATAGAAGTCATACTAAACCTAACACCACTACATATATTCATTCAAGGCGAAGCCAGGTCTGTCACATACAGACTGCACAAAGGTTCATCGCCCATAAGCAGTTTGCATGGACGCGACTACAGCGAGCTATATAAAGAGTTGGAGAACGACCAAATAATGGGAATGCCTTCAGACGAAATGCTTCCAAAGTATAGCTTTCAAAAGCAATATAAAGTAAGTATACCAGACAGGGAAGCGTGGACGGGAGGACCTCCTATTCATGCAGATCTCACCTGGTATACAGACGGCTCCAAAACCCATGAAGGTTCAGGAGTAGGTATATATATAGTACCAAGCCAAAGACAGGAATCTCACTGAGCTTAGGTAAACATGCGACAGTATTCCAGGCAGAAATAGCAGCAATACATCACTGCGCAAAAGAAGTATTAAGACAGAAGGTAAATGGAAAAACCATTGTCATATACTCAGACAGTCAAGCGACGTTAAAAGCACTCAGTTCCATGCAGGTACACTCAAAGCTTATGTGGGACTGTTTGGAAGCCCTAACAGAGCTGGGTAGTCAAAACAGACTAACCTTAGCCTGGGTACCAGGCCACAGGGGACACAAAGGCAATGAAGAGGCTGATTTACTAGCCCGAGAAGGAGCATCAAATGCTCTTATTGGCCCAGAACCCTTCTGTGGTGTAACAAAAACAACTATCAGAACATGCACAAAGCAGTAGATGTTTAAAAAATCTCAGGAGTGGTGGGAAAACTCACCAGGACAGAGACAGGCCAAAAAGTTTTTAAAAGGACCATCGTCTAAACTCACCGAGCATCTACTAAGCCTTAATAGGAAAAATACTAGAATACTAGTAGGTCTATTAACAGGGCATTGTAGGCTTAACAAACATATGTTCAATATCGGTCTGACAGAAGAGGCCTTGTGCCGATTCTGTCAAGAAGAAGAGGAAACGGCAGAACACGTATTGTGCTACTGCGAAGGTCTAGTAAGACTGAAATTCCTTACACTTGGAGAAGAAAAACCAAGGGCAACTAGCTATACCGGAGAACTACTTCCCAGTCTATGGAGTCTACTACAAAAGACCGCATTAGACAAGGTACTCTAAACAATGATTAAAGGATATCCACAATAGATCTGAAAAGGTCGAGGTGGGGGAGGCCACATGGCCCGTAGTCCTAATTAAATCTAATCTAACTACTGCGCCTGCGAAATCGTTACTATTAGTAATAATTCGGTTCAGGATTCTTACCGCGAACAAAGCTATTAATTCGTTCTCGAATTAATTCAGACACCATTACGCTATTTTCCATCAACAAAAATAACGGAAACAGAAGCTCTTCGAAATTTTCTTTTTTATTATTATTTTGTCTGCACTTCATGTCATTTTTAATATTTTTCCAAAATGAAAAAATAATGGGTTTTAATATTTATGAATACCAGCAACGTCTTAAAATATTTTTGAAAATTATAAGAATTCACAAGTTCGACAACCTGTATCTCAAAATCAAGTCCATAGGATAACGTTTTGGCCAAGAACACTTTTAATTAAAGGGTCAAAAACTGCAACATGAAGTATATAAAATTAAGTAGATTCGATCGAAAGCCATTTGCTATAAGGAAACTTCGACGTCCCTTCAAATCGACTGCTTTCAGAAAATATGCAATATTTCCATATCCCGGTGAACCATATCGTAGATATTTAAAATAATACATTTATTATAATAAAGGTCTTTATTTTCCTTTCAAGTTAGATAACTATTTACAAACAGAAAAAATAAATTGAAACAGAAAAGAAAAATGCCGAAGATCAGGTGACGATCATCGCATGTTTTTCATCAATTTTCAATAGAAAGACGACCTACGTTAGACCTTTAATTTGGCCAAAAATTAGATTTTTAAATAGTATATCAGTCGATTTAACTTTTTGTCAACACATACGGTTTTTATATACAGGAATTACCTGTCCTTGAGGTATAACAAATTTTGTAAGGATGATATCATTCTGATTATCGCTAGAAAACGTCGGCTAATTGCTCACTCACTTTTATCTCTATTTTTTTTATTATATTTTTCTACTATAATACTTAGTAGATTTAGTATTTTATTTGGAGGTAGTTTACACTACCTAGGTACTTTTTCTGGCTTTTATTGTTTTCCCATGAAAATACTTCTTACCGATTCAGATACTTGGAATTGTTTCATTATAATATTATATATAAAGAGCAAAACTACATCCCTGATTATTGTATTATAATGTAATATTTCGCTGAATTACTTGTAATGCATTTACGAAATAGACATGATTTTCGAAAAAACTAATTAAAAACTTTGACACGCTTATCGAACACCAAATATGTAATACATAGGTATTGATTGCTATTACGAGAATGAAATTAGTCAACAAGATTTGTTGTAATTCTTGTTGCATCGTGGGAACAACAGTACACCTGAGCAGACTTACTTTACTTCCTTATACATATAAATATAAATTTTCTAGACCGTTATAATGTGCTTAAAGCCTGTCTAGAGATAGAACGGCGCGGCGTTAAAAAAGAAGACCGTGCCTTCGCTGGAACTTTTATAAGAAGGCCTGACTGACCACGGATAATATCCCGTTAACAGAAACTGTAATATGTAAATCCCATATTGTTAAATAATTGATAAGATAATGTAGTAATTAGTATATACACTGCTCAACGATTGAAGTGGTTATTTCAAGAAACTTAATTTTCAGTAACTTAATTTTCAGTGTAACTATTTGAAATAAAAATACTGCAAAACATTTTAATTTAAGTTTCGTCACTAAAGAAACAAAACGGGTGCAGCATTAGAAAAAGCGTACTTCAAAATAAATGGTATACTGTCTTGTAAATCACCTTCAGCTACAATAATAGTTATTATCCTAAAAATGCAATGCGAATGCAAATATGCTTCCTTAATGTAATTTTGAAGATCTTCTGTCTTTGTAACAAAACTCTCCAATAATAATTTGGCAACAACATGGATAGCACTTTAATGCTTGCAATTCGGTTTTTGTATACATAATTAGACTAGTAGTAGTTCGTCTTTGGTTTCAATTGACTATCCAATTTAATTTATCAAGTCTGTATTCTCTTGATTATCAGTTAATTAATTTTTCGTAGTTGTTTTCGATATATTGAATAATCTAATTTGCTCATTCCAAGTTAGAATTGCGCTGTATAATTCATTATCTAACGGCTATAAAGCGCTAAAAAACATCTTCAACAAAGTTTACTGTCTTGTTTGTATATTTATATGTCTTGTATATCATTATTATCATTATATTCTGTTTCAGGTAACTGCAGGTCAACATGTCCACCTCTCCGGAGACATCAAGGGCAACGTATCGATCGCCGCCCAACAAGGAATGCATTTTACGCATCAATCGCCCCAAAGCAACTCCCAACCCCAATCTGGTTCAAATTCAAACCACCACAGTCCGATGTCGACGCCCCAACACCAAGGCTCTCCCATGTCGAACGGAGTTCCCTCTCAGGGTCCTATGGGTCACCAAACCGGGCCTCAGATGTCGGGAGGGAACCTGCAGATGTCCGGTGGTCCGATGGGCCCCGGTATGCAGGTACCAGGTGGTATGGGTGGAGGAAATATGGCGGGTAAGTAAATTTAGATTCAAACTCTGGCATTTTGTAGCTACATCCTAAAGAGAACAAAGTATAAAATTATTATCCTCTATTTTTAGGTAACGACATGGGCAATAATATGTCAGGTCCAGGCAACATGGGAATGCCCGGCCCCAATATGGGACAACCAAACAACATGAACAGCAATCTAGGAGGACATGGTGGTCCACCTGGATCCATGGGCGGTATGCAGCATCCTGGGATGCACAACGTGGGAGGAGGCATGGGCGGTAATCACAACGACACTTACTCCATGTCCCAGACGCAAACCATCAACTTTACCCACCAAACGCTGAGGAGAGCCGCCAACCAAGGTATGCCGAATCCAATGGGTGGCCCTTCCCCGATGTCCGCCCCAGGACCGAACAACCAAGGTCAAGCCGGTCCCGGCGGAATGGGACCCCGATTAATGGCAGCTCAAAGTATCGAGCAACAAAAATTGCTGCATCAGCAACAAATGTTAAGGGCGCAACAGCAACAAGTCGCTATGCAGCAGCACATGGTTAGGCCGCCACCGCCTGACTATAAGTCGAGCGCTGGATTGATGCAGGGGATGCAGCCGAGGTATGCCGCCCCTGCGCCGCCTCCCAATATGAGGAGAATGCCCATGCAAACAATGCCACCTTCAGGTAAGGTTTGACGATTAATTCCATCTTTTTGACAAGTTGTATAGTGGAATAGTTTATGACTAGTCATAGTACACATTCTTATACAAAATTTTTACTGTGTACAGTAGTAGACAAAAATCAAATTAAATGTTGATACTTTGGTTAGAACTTTTTGTTAAGTAGTTGCCCTGATTTATTACAGGACCAATGATGAGATCCAACATGTACATGATGCAGCAGCAACAGCAGCAAATGCCGCCCCAACAGATGCCCCAGAGAGCGGCTCTGTACGCCCGACAGCAAGGACCAATAGCGAGCATGGAATCCATGCAACATAGCTCGGAATGGAGGCATCTGCTAATGTCCCAGCAACAGAACACCAACTTCAACACCATGAGGCCCAATTTCCAACAAAGTACGACCGTTTATATTGTTATCCCGGAGTATTTTTTAAAGATCTCGGTTTATTTTTACAGACTTTAACATGAACTCGAATAACATGCAACAACAGATGACGGCGTTGCAGCATCAGCAACAGCTCAGGAATCAGCAAGCCATGGTGTCTGGTGGCGGTGTTGGAAGCCAGCAAGGTATGAGTGGCCCTGCAGGCATGAGTCAGGCTCAAGTTATGGGTCAAACCAACAATCCCATGGCGCAAATGAACAACATGAACCAAGCCATGTTGCATATGCAACAGCAACAACAACAGCAGCAACAACAACAGACCATGATGCAACAACAAAATTCGCATGTAAGTTAACAAAAGTAATTAATATGAATGTATTAATATTTTTTATAGCCAACTATCAATAAAGCCATAGCGATTTGAGGAAGTAAACAAACACTTTAACTCACTGTAAAAATCAAATATTTTATCTGCCGCTAATATTTATCAACATAGCCGTCATGACCGTTTGATAGAAATAGTCTGTAGCTGATTTGTTTTGTATTCGCTGTTATTTTTCTGTTTGTTTACTTTGTCATACTAAAATCCTTTTTTATTAATTATAATTATTTAGGGTTGGCGATAAAAGTTTGTATCAAAGTGTCTTTATCGAACTAGCCTGCTCGCCCGTTTCTCCCACTCGGCTCAATATCTCAGACTAGTTCGATAAATAATCACTTTGCTGACTTGGAACATAAATAACATTATCTGATTACTATTATTTTTATGGGGAGTAAAAAAATAATTTACTATTAACAGGTTACGCCCAATTTCCTTAGCTTTATTTTTATTTTCTTTTTTTATTTATTTTTTTTGTCAATAATGATCGCTTTAAATTGACATCCACGGTTCTTCTGTTAGTAGTGGTATTGAAAGTGGTTCTAAATCAAAACCCGCTAAGCTATCAAGTCTAAATAGTTGGGCCGTAACACTATAATAATAATAATAATTTAATTTAATTATTTAAAATTAATTCTGATGCCTTGGTAGGATTCCCCACTCGACCATTCACTGTTGGGTTCTAATTAACAGTGCTGTTCCTAAAGTGGCGCTGGGAAACAGTAACAAAGCCTACACAGAACACGAGGCGAAATAACCTTAGCTGTTGAAGCCGATGACACACCAAAAAAAAATAATAATAAAAGCACTTTATTGGTTATGAATATTACAACCAAATGGCCATCGACCTAGGTCCTTCAGCAAGTACAATTTGTATGTTATGTATGAGGATTTACAAGCTATATGTGTAAGATGAATACGAATATTAAAATAATTAAAAAAAAAAACAATGTGTCACAATTATTGTTCATCGGCAAATTCGTTTAAGATTTCTGTTATTGATCTCACTGGGTATTTAAACTGCTTGACCAATTTGTCGTTGAATCAAAAAAATGTTTATTAGCATGTGATTGTTTCGTTTCTTCGAGAAATTTTTTGACAGATTTCTAATTCTTTCCAGGATAGGCTGAATCTTAGTTTTTTCGTAAAGATATTCATTCGCTGGATGGTGAGTGGGGTTTTCAGGATGTCGCATCTTGGCAATGATTCTTAGTGTAGAAGTTTCGGCCACTTGAATGTTTTTTAATTCAGGTTTTCGGCAATTTAAATATATACTGTGACCGTATTCCAGGAGAGGTCTGCAAATTGTTTTGTAGATGTTAGAGTGGCCGTTTTTAATGTCCAACAGGAGAATGCAGATTTTTTATTGTTCAATTTTGTTGTTTGCACATTGGAAACCAGCAGAGTGGTTGGTACCAGATCGGAGATTTGTTCTCTAAACCCAAATTGGAATTGCGGAATTCGTTTGTTTACTAATGCTGATAGTTTGATCTTGGTTTTTCGAATAGTTTTCCCAAAACTGGAAGAAGGGTGATTGGTCTGTAATTATCAATTATTTTGTGGTCTGTGCTTGGTTTTGGGATAACTATGATGGTGCCTTTTTTCCATTGAACTGGAAAGTACGAGTTTTTGTAACAGAATACAAACATTTTTATAATATAGATATGTATATTATACTTGTATTCTAGTTTTTTCACAATTTGCCATGGGATCATGTCCGATCCTGGAGCGGAGTTTTTCTGATTGGATAGTATTCGAAAGTATTTTTCCTCCTCGAATTCTGTGTTATCTTCCTCATTGATTGGGTTGTTTCTAAAATATTGTTTGCGCCATGAGTTTACATTATTCCAGTTTTCTTGTTCAAAAGATGGGTCGTTCCGTTATATGTTTTAATGAAGTTCTCCTTGAATGCATCGGCCTTTTTTCTCATCTGTGGCATAGTCTATACCATTGTCTATGATATTTGGAATTTTATTCCTTGTTTTATATTTTGACAGTTTATTTATTTTATGATAGAAGTTTCTTCCCTGTTCTCGATTGATTTCTTAGCCATGTGTGTTGCTGAAATTTTTTACTAATTTTTGAATGTCTTTGTTAAAGTTGTTGATGTTTGTTTTAACTTCCCGACTAGGGTTTTGCCTGTATTCTCTGAGCATTTTATGTTTTGTTTTGATGAGTTTCATGATGTATCTAGGAAATTCATGAGTAAAATATTTATTTGCAGTTTTTGGTGTGTTGTTCGTGATAATCTCAAAGACCTTTGTGTGAAAGTTGACTTCATTGGTAGTAATATTAGTGTTGTTTGAAATTAGTTGGTTTACTTCTTTTTTATTTTTTCAATGTTCGATTTTTTGAAATTATATTTAAGAGGTGGGTCTGCAAAAGGAGAGGGCATTCCTTGCGCGTTAGTAAACATTATAGAATGGTGGTCTGCCCCAATGTCGGGGATTACTTCTATATTCTTAATTGCGTTGCTAAGATTGTCAGTGTACATTAACAAATCTGGGGTGGAGTCCTCATTGTTGGGCATCAAAAAAGTAGGGGGAGTATTCGCTTTAATAAAGTTCGTGTTATGCATAAAAGTTTGAATCTGTTTTAATTTGCCTGGAGAGCGGTGGTTGAAGTCACCGATTAGCACAACATATTTGAATCTTCCTGCTATTCTGAAGATAGAATCGTCGGTTGAAGCATGTGGGTGGCTGTATATCAAAATAATGTGTAGTTCGTCATCATTGAAAGGGATACTGACGTGTAGAGCATCATTTCGGGGATCGTTTATGCGGGGTGGGTTTCGTTTTCGCATTTTTAGCTTTGGATTTATTTGCATAAGTGATCCTCCCCTTATATTTTGGTTTAGAATATTTCCGTCGTGTTTTACTACATCCCAATTTCTATAGTTGGTGTTGGTTTCTGCATTGGTTTTAGTTTCTACAATAGGGCACAGTCTATTAACTTCCTTTCTATCGTATGGTTCACTAAATATTTCTGTTGAAAGTAACTGTATTAGTGTTTAATATTTTAATTTAGATGTTGAATGGGAGCTACTTGCATTCCTGGTATAGTTTCAGTTAGAGATTCGAAGTTGTCTAGTTCCATGTCAAACGTCAAGATGTAAATCCAGTTGTTTCCCACAAACGGTACAGTGGTATCTATTCTGTGTTACGCCATGAATCTTTTTCGTAGTCTCCTCTCTGTTGATGTTTTTGGGTTTTTTCATCTTTTTTTACATAAGAATTTATTGGTAGATATTATAGTTAGTTTCATTTTTTAATGTCAACGCGATAGAAGATAGAAGAGCCTTTAAACCGGCTGGGTTGGCCTTTTATAGTCTTAAAAATAATAAATGATTTGAATATTCTAGAAAATAAGGAAGACATTCTATATCAAATTAAGTCTCCTTCCAAAAATTTTCAACATCGGTACATATTATAGTATTTTATTTTGCCGATTAGAGGTGGGAACAATTAACACGTATTAAAAGATTATAAAATAACAAAAGTTTTGAAATTGATGTAACAATAAAAAAAACAAGTGTTCAAAAACATTTTAAAACTGAAACCTGCTTTGTTTCAGATGTCAATGTCCAACATCCACATGCAGCAATCTCAATCGATAACCGTAAATAACCAATCCCTTCAGCAATCTCAGCAGATCCAGCAACAGCAGCAGCAAGGCATGCCCAGTCACAACCAGATGACCTCAGTCGTCCCCAACAACCCCCAAAACTCCCAAAATTCCCTCGCTTCCAGTTTTAACCCCCAGTCGGACTTCAATTTCGAGTTTCTGGACAATCTGGCATCGGGGGACGGCGCACCTTTTACCGATCAGGAGCTACTCAGTTCCTTCGACAGTGATGCCGGTTTTACTTTAGATTTCTAGACGATATAATTTAGGATTTAGTGTCCCCACAGATATTTTTTATATTTGTACGATGGAGCTTGGCAACAATCGGAAAATTTGTGACATTTGACAGATGATAGGCTGTCAAAAATCGAAAGACGTTCTTCGACAAAATGCGGGTTGACAGTTGATATTTAGACAAAGTTTAACGATTTGATTATAACTTCCTTATTTTGATAATAAGATGTGACTGGCTGAGCAAATTAAGAAGAAGTATAGTACAGTGTGAGCTACATAATTTTCATCTAGAGTTGGCCAAGGAACTTACAACGAGTGCGTTAGAAATGCAAAACAGTTTTATCAGTATTAATTATTTTTAGTATAATTAATTCGTTATTAATTGGTTATTATTAAGTAATTAATGTGAAATTAAATGAGTCATTGATGAGAAATTAATGAATTAAAATCCGTCAGATTTATACGTGTCCGATAGGCAAAAGTAGATAATGGCGACTCATTTATCTGTCAGAAATAAAAATTATGGCATGATAAAATCTAAAATGAACCATAATACTCTGGCCATTACTATTTACTTTTTTTGTCCCGATATGTACGAAGTAGGCGTGCTTTTCAGATTTTTAACTACTTTTAACGAACAGTTTAAAACACGTATATCATACACTGTACTTATTTTGTAAAATTTCTAGTGACAGAATGGACAGAGGTCACTGACAAGTCGACGTAGTGATCTGTTGAATATCAGCTGTCAATTTGTGTGTCGCTAAAACTGACATTTTAACGAGGCATAAAAATATGACATGACACATCGATAATGTGTTTATGCGCAGTTGCCGGTTCTATCGATCCAAAAGATTAAATTGTTGATACTTTTTTTATATTATATAAATATATATTTTTGTACATAATTTATATTTAAACTATGGTTTATGTTTTTGTACTTCCATTGTTTTTTATAGTATTTTTCTCATTTTTTTAAATGTTTATCAAAGCTCTCCAGATATTTGTTTTAGCATTGATGATTTTAAAGCAATATGAAGAATTTAACCAGTCAGTAAATAATGTTTTTTTAATTCCAGTTTCATTATTTGGCCAAACCATGACCTTCGAGATTTTTATACAAAAAGATAATTTACTGACTAGTTAAAAAACATTTGAATCTCTTGTTTCGAGATTAACGAATTTTTATAAAATATTTAATATTCTTTTCTCAAAAACAATTATTAATGACGCCAAATTATTAGATAAATAACAAAAAAAGGAAATAAATTCTACTACACCAATAAAAAAATTGTTTTAAATAATAAAATATACGGGGTATGTCAAAATTGTATTCGTATTAGTTGGTGAAACTAAAAAAATAATGTGTTCATTTCAATTAAGTTTAGGTGTATTAGTTATTAAATCGCCCCGTATAGAAGCCAATGATTCGTTTCTAGGAGTTTTAGTGAATATATACTGAAATTTAGGTATACATAAGACTGATTTTAATAATTTTTTGTTTGTGATGGATGTAGTTGAATTTATTTTTTTAAACTTAAAAGAATTATGAATTTATTCTAAATGTCTAGTGAAAATTTGGATTACAAAAAGCTTGTATTTTCTTAAGTACAACTTTAATTATTTTTCTAAACGTATTTATGAGTTATATGCGGTTTTTTTGTCCATATCATTTTTTCATAATTTTTTTCAATTTCAGACAAAGTTAATAGAATTTCTGAGCGTTTTTCATGACAATTATTAAACACTTTTTTATTGCATGCATTAGTCATTTTGTTTTACCTGGATTACTAGTTAAAAAATCAAAATATTATTTCTGTAGTCCAAACTTTTCACAGATGTTTTTATGATAAAAAACAAAATCTCGCCTATTCAAGGCACCTGGGAATCAATTTTTCTAGTAATTAAATGAACATCCTGTATATATATTATATGAACGTTATTAAGTACAAGCAATGTTGACATGGGTTCACCGAGACACACTCACATATTCTAATAATTATATAAAGATAATGTAGGTAATATTTTAGAAAAATTTTTCGAATGAACATTTTAGAATAGAAATCAATTTAAAGTTTCAATATATCACAATTCAAAGTAGATTCGAATGAAATTAAGCTAATGGTTAATTATTAACGTACATTTTTCTCCACTTGAAAATATCACATTTAACTAAACATGGTTTTAAATGTAAATACGAAATGGTATTTTTTTTTTTTAGTTTGTCAGTAAAAATGGTCTTCATATAAAGTTGATTAGTTAAAATATTAATAAGCAACATGGGCTCTCATAACTGCGAAACAAATTTCTTTCAATAGAATACATGTATCAATTAATCGTTGCCATTTTAAAAATAAAACTGGTGCTTCATACACATTATTTTTGTCGATGGGAATTATATTTATCTCCTTGGGAAAACGATTTAGGAATTCCTTTTTATTTAAGAAATATTACACAATTTGGCTTCTGTTAAGGCCTGTTTTTTTATCAACCGGAGACTCAACCTTTTCACCAAATGCCTTCATAAATTATTTACGGATTTCAGATTTGTTAGATCGAGTATTCATTTATTACCGTTGGGTTCACCAGAATTGCAGATCTATCCACCGATGTTTTGATAGGTTGCCAAATATCGAAGAATTGTGAAAAATGACAGCTTAACATCAAAATTAATTTCATCCATATTAAATTTTTCGATGCAATAGTGCGCCATCATAAAACACAAAAACTAAATCGAACGAATAATAAACAGCCCTGTAAAAAATGACAAATAACAAGAAATAATGCCGTTTTTTATTAGCAAAAATCATTCCATTGTTAACCAATCTATGACGTCATGTGACAGGCTTCAATTATGAATTTTAGCTGAAAAAAAAAACTACTGTATTAGGCATTCCAAAGAGAAGAAGTGTCGATGGGAAGATTTGGTATGCCTAAAGGGTTGCAGCATACGATGTATTCTATTTAAAATACGTGATACTATAAATAATGGATTAAATTTAAATATTTTATGTTGAGCAAAATGAAAATAGTATTTATAAAAACCCTCTATACATTTTTCATAAATTGGCAGGCTTGGCGAATACTATTTCGAATAAAAATAGTGTCCAAGATACAACCCTCTTAAATATAAGAGCCCTTGCCACTGACAGCTATTGTTTGATAGGTCGTTGAAATGTCAAATCAAGCTAAGCTATTCATAGGACAAAACTAACCTAGAAATAAATTATTAAAATGGCAAAAAATATTTTTTCTTCAGGTTCCGACAACAAATTTCGATAATTAAATGCTGTTCAGAATAATAGATTAATTGAAAATAATTGATTTAAAAAAAAATATATATTTTGCCTACCCCTACTAAAGTGAGTACTTTTTCAAAATTTTGACATCCTTAACCTTCACCTGGCCTCGTCGAGTACGTACAAACATCACGCTCTTTCTAGTGGATTTTCGATATCTAAATCTTTAAATCAAAACTCGTAACGACATCTATCGATAGTCAAGGGATATACTTTTATACCTAGGCTAGTGGGATAGCGCTATAAAAATAAATACCTTTTTTTAAAGAATTATTATTCTTTTATAGTGATGTAACAGAAGAAGAAGCAGTTAAAATTCCAGCCGTTTTTATCGAAAAACAAAAAAGTTATTTTTTTTTTTTGTAAAAAAACGCATTTTTTCAAGTTTTCCAGTTTTCCGGATTTTTTATGAACGCTGATTTTTATTTTTTCAACTCGGACTATTCTACAGTTTAAAGTGGTATCTAAAGAGGATCTCTAAATTTTTTTGAGACTAAATAATCAATATTTCAATTTTTACAAAGATTTTTATCACTGGGGTTCGTACGTACCCCACGAGTCTAGGTATGTTACTCAGGATGAACATGCGAGGTGAAGGTTAATATTATATGGAGCCATTTTAGTCTATTTAACGATGTCGCCCTAAAACGTCAAATTAATTTCTGTATGATAGGTTTCTCTGTACCAGTTGTCATCAAAACTATACACTAGGCGTTTTCGGAATCCTACTATAGATAACAAATCCAGATTACTGAGTTTACTCGATGGATCACAGAACTTAGTGCCAATAGTTTACGAACGAGTTCAATTATTGTTCCTGTTTATCTATGTTTGTAAATCTTTGACTTTTCCGAGTAACTGTTAATATTATAAAACCTTATTTGTTAAAGAACCATTTTAATTAAACATTGTAGTTTGACTAAAAATGTAGCTATATGGGTTTTAAGTAATTAAATGTAAAAAAAAATCAAAGCCACTATTGGCAAACACCAGACACCAAAAAATTGCGTTATCCCTTTATAAAATCCTGCGGATCAATTACCAATCTACTCCCAAAGTGGATCACAAATATTGATCTCGATCACAAAACTGGATCAGTAATTCACTAGTTTCCGAAAACGGATAGGGTTAGTAACCCTGTGTAAACGAACAATAGGATCCATAATCTTTCTGATTCGAGTAAGTTTCCAAAAACGCCTAATGTCATGTGCCAACATAACTACTTGGTTTCATTTATTCAGCAGTCGACAAAATAATTTTGCGTTTCAGGGATATTCCACTGCAAACGTCAAGTTTATTCCTATGTTGACAAATGACGGTCACAGATAATAGGAATGCTAATTGAGAAAATTGACATTTGACAAGATCGGATAGGCTGTGAACTTTATTAGATCCACAGTATTATAACGTATTTGTAAATTCACCTGAAGATGATACTAATGACCAAAATGTTGTGAAAAATTAGTAGAATTTTACTTACTAGTTTCAAGGCATATACATTGACAGGACATTGGGAATAACTTTTTAAATCAGACTGAGAAAGTCAATTTCTTTTCAATTTGTATTTGAAAAATACGTACTTTTACCAAGATAGACTCAGTTGTCGATTTTCAAACATTTTTACATAGGTAATTTAACCAAGAAATTAAAATTAGAAAATGTGATATTTTTAAGTGAAACGTACATTTTAACATTTTATAAAAATATTTTGAATGGTTTAGAATTAAAAAAAAATCGATTGAATTTATCACAACCAATTTTTTAACATTTTTTTTTTGTCATTCCTGAAGATAAATAAAGGGTTATTCTTGGACTATAACACGTTTTTAGTTAAAAGCGTCAATTTATATGTAATTTGGATAGTCTTTGTAATTTTTTTTGTATTTTTTTATTTTCTTGCTAAGTTAAAAAAAAATTTTTTAAACAAAAATATATATAATCCAGGGCAATATAGTCAAATTCGATCGCCAATAAATTCTTGACCATTCGATATATATTTATTAAATATTAAAAAAAAAAACTTGTATAATAAAAAACGCGTTTTATTTGAAATACTTCCAGTTTTTATACATTCCAGTTTTGATTTTTGTATTTCCAGTTTTTGCCAGTATTTTTTTCAATAATAATTGATCGCATTAAACACACAGTATTTTTTCTCATTTTGCATGGACTCAAAAAAGCAATTTTGAAATTTCGTGCCATATAAATTTTTTTATTAAATTTTTAAAAATAATATATTTCGCTGCCAAATTAAAAAGAAATCTTTAAAATTACAATATTTTCAAAATTTTGAATAGTAAAAAATGAGATTTCAAAAAAAATTTTTGAAAATTTTCATGTTTACGTTTTTTTCTTAAATAAATGTGACATCCTGTAAAACGAATTGTAATAACTATCATCACACTTTTGTTTTAACATCAGCGTCCATGTATTTATTTTGTGTATATTAATATTTTATACCTATTTTGTTTTTTTTTATTCATAATTATATGTACTTAGAAAAATTAAAATTGTTATATTCTAATTTATACAGACATGCAAGAGTTTATAATGAGAAATATATTCCATGTTTTGTAGATTTATCATAAATGCAGGTGATTATATATAATAAATATATACAAAGATATTTTAGACTTTAATTTTACCGAAAATATGTAATTAGAAAAATAAATGATTCCTCAAAAAAATATCTGAAAATGGTGTCCATAACTTTCATTGATTGCAGACGCGAGAGCCCACTATTATTGAAATCTGGATATCTTAGAAAATCTATTGGTTATATTTATACAGGGTGTCCAAAAATTAGTGGTAAATATTTTAAATGCGTATTGTACAGGTGAAAATGAGGCAGAAAGTTCCTACAACCCAGTAACGGCTCGTGGTTAAAGGCATTGAGTGATCTGCAAGATTCTGCTTCCCCCCAAAAAAGTAATAATTATTATTTTATAGCTTTTATTCATCAATTATGTTCTGCAATCCTACTTAGCAACAAACTGATACTTATTCGCTCAGTGCGAAGTCATGGTAGGGGAAACAAAAGCGATACTAGCGCTAGCTGCGGATAATTCGTACATTTTAGGGAGATATTTTGTAATTTTGGCATATCAAATACACGTACAAATTTTACTTTTTTTATTCAAAAAAAGGTAAAAATACAATAAGCAACCGGAGTTGTGTTGAAAATTGTGAAAATACTAAAAAAAGCAGTATAAATTATAAAAATGTTTAGTAGCAAAGTGGAAATTAAAGCAAATAAATAAATGGATAGGTGTACAAGAAGAAGAAGAAGAAGAAAAATTACCTTTATTTTTGTAATAATAACAGTAATACTGGAAATAGTAGACAGAAACATGAAAGGTTTTAAATAAACAATAAATTATCATTTTACGTTCTTCAATATCCTTTTAAGCTATCACTGGAAGGAACATGCTCATCTATACAGATAGCAGATTAGCACTACTCACCCTGAAGAGACTACGAATTTATTCAGGGTTAGTACTAGAATGTCACGAAGCTTTGGCCGAAGTATCCATCAACAATGTGGTCACCTTAAGATGGATCAAAGGTCACGCCACATCGAAAGGTAACCGTCTTGCTGATTCACTAGCCAAGAAAGCAGCCAACCAAATACTTTTTGGACCTGACCCTTTTATTGGCATGACAAAATCGGTAGTGACAGACATAATTAAAGAACATTCCCTTGTGAAATTCAAGGAAAGATGGGATGAAACAAGAAACTGCAGAGTTCCCAGGGAGCTCTTAAGTTATCCTGACAACACTGCAGCAAACAAATACTTGACTATTACTAGACAGAATCTGCGCCTTATCACAGGCATTCTGACTGGACATTGCCAAGTACGGAGCATCTCCATATCATGGGGCTGTCAGAATCCGCACTCTGCAGAGGGTGCGAATAAGAAGATGAGATCATCGAGCATATTCTTTACGATTGCTCGACGCTCTCATTTGTGTTCGGCGAGTATCGACTAACACCGGCCATTATAAGAGAAGCACCTCTTGGCGACGTTGTCAACTACATTAAATCTGTAGGCTGGCTCACGAGCTAGGAGGTACCTATCATTTTAGGAGGATGCACAATAGGCCTAAGTGCCGTGGGGGTAACCCACCCTCCACACGTTACAGATACAGAGATCCCTTTAATCTAAAATGTTCAGCAAGAACTAGATTTCTGCCTTTGATCATTGTATGTGGCCGGAATGAAATTTTGTGACTTACTGATAGGAAACCAGTTTTAATCATTCATTCTTTGTTTTCTTTCGAACAAAAATGAAAATATAAATAACAATCCTTCTGTTTATACATTTTAACTTCACGCTATTATTTAATGGTACTTTTTATTTTGACAGACTAGGTTAAATCTTCAAAGACAACTTATAAGACTTAGGCAACTTCTCATACATTTTTACGTAAATACTGTTGCCTGTCTATATTTTGTTATTGAATATACTTTTTTTTTTTCAGTTTAAGGGATAAAAATATATAATAATAAATGTTTTACTTTTATTTTTCAATTTCATATACTTTTATTAATACTAACATACGAGGGTGTATCAAATATAAACGGGATTTCTTTTGTAAAAATTTTTAGCTTTATTTAAATAAGTTTTTAAACATACATTATTTTTCTACATACATTTCTCCCTAGAAATACATTTTTCCCATCGGATTGGTAGCTTTTTTATTCCAGCATCGTAGAAACTCTTCGGACGTTCCTGTAGCCATTCTTTGAGGGGTCTAAAAGGATGGAAGTCACAAGAGGAAAGGTCTGGACTTTAGGGAGGATGTTCCAGTATTTCCCATTCAAATGTTTCCAATTTTTCCCTCGTGACATTAGCCACATGAAGTCTGGCGTTGTGATGCAAAAGAATGACATTTCTGACCGATGGCTTCTTTGCTTCTCTTCGAAATGACAATTTAGCTGCTTGTAGAAAGTCAACGTGAAAAACACCTAGCCGATCAAAAATTACTGTTGCCATTACCTTTCCACCTTTTCAGGCCCTCCAGAAAATTCTTGGTGCCAGGCAAACACACGGGTTCTTGACAGAGTGTTATCCCCAAACTGTGCCTGCAATCGTGGCAAAATTTCGGTTGGTTTTACCCTCTCTTTTGCCAAAAACTTTATTATAATCCATTGCTCCACGAAGACATGCACTTCTTTCTCGCTCATGGTGTCTTTGCATACTAAAGAGACGAATTTTGTGAATTTTGATCGGTTTTCTCCCCTCCCCACAGGTAAAGGCTAACTGCCCATCAATTCTTTCCAGATCAATAACCATTCAGGAATTTTTAATTCAAACAATCCCGTTTATATTTGATATACCCTTGTATATACTTTTTAATTACAAATTCTATTAAAAATTATATTTTCAGTATACGCAAAAAATAGTCCATTAGTACATAAATGAATTAGCACTGCTATAACGCACGAAGCAAATAGGCGTATTTCAAAAATCATTTTTCGTTTATTAATTTATAATCTACTATTTTTTATGTACAATAGAAACGTGCACTGGCAAATTGACTTAAACTAATAATCCTCATCTACAAAACCGAATCACATACCTATGCGACAGACTATACAAATCTCACCGATCTGGCAAAAAATGCATCCCAAACTACGTGTTTCGGCGTTACTTTTATCTATATTTTAATTTATATATTTCTTTTAATAAGCCTATCATCCGGGAAAGCTTTACAAATTATAAGATATTTTATGTGATAAAATGATGCCTAAATTAAAAAGTGTCCAAGAACTTAAATAAGATTACTTTAATTCTACTCCTTTAGAGTTTGTAGAAATTTTTCGTTTACAACAGAGGAAATAACAGGAAGATGAAAATTTTGCTTTTTTAGATAATATTAGTTTTTTTTTTAAATACGTCTATTTTAGTATGCATGGCGTTCTTTGAAGCGATACTCCTGGAAAACTATCAATCTTATCGAAGTGAACCAAGAGTAAGTTTTTGTCATAAAAAAAGTTGAATTTTATAAATATAGTCTCAAAAATAATAAAATGTAGAGGATAAAAGGTTTTAGTACATTTTAACATAACTATCCCTTAGTTGTGACGTCCCACTTAAAAAGATAAAGTTTTTGAACTATAGTCGTCACATTCAAAATTGAAATTCAAATTTATTTATTCCCATTAGTATAAATACATTTTAAAACCAGAATGTACATTATGGACTAAAGTTTGTTTGTGCACATGTTATATTATTTACAGTATTAATATTCAATAAATGTACAAGATAATGAATTCATAATTATAAATATGAGCACATTTGATACATTTGACATAAATTAGGTAAAGTTGTTTACATTAATATACATATATACATGGCCTGGAAAGTACACTAAATAAATAAATATACCTACTTAGTAAAACAATTTATATTATTGCTTACAAGCCATTCCGTGATTCAAAACATCAATTTTAAGAGAAATCAAAAGTTTGAGGTAGGTATTTATCTGTACCAAAAATATCAGAATACCAACTTCAGGGAGTTCAATTCAAATTGGTATTGCTTCCACATGAGGCATGTTTAGATATATGCTTATAGGAACTTTCTGCCTTATTTTCACTTTTATAGTAAGCTATTAAAATATTTACCTCTAATTTTGGAACACCTTATATAAAACAAATTAATACACGCCTCTATTTCCAACGTATCGTTTAGCCCAGACATAATAAAAGATACTTAAAATGCTTAAGTCCAACCACTCACCAGGCTTAGACGATAATCTCCTCTTTTCTTTTAAAATCTTGTGCTGACACTCTCTGTTATCCCATTTCCCGTATAATGACATCCTCCTTTAATACTCACATCTTGTCATCTATATGGAAGACTGCGTCAGTGACAGCCATATTCAAAAAGGACAATAAGCTTGATCCAAATAATTATAGACCGATAAACCTTGTATCAATAGTTTGTAAAGTAATGGAGTCAATAATACGTGATAACGTAACTGACTTTCTTGTAAACGAACGTGTACTTCCCACCTAACAACGTGGATTTATCAGAGGACGATCTACCTTAACTAATCTCCTGCAGTCTGTCAATGTCTGCACAAAAGCCTTAGATGCTGGTCGTCCAATAGATGTTTATATACTTGGATTTTTCTAAGACTTCTCAAAAATATTGAATACCTAGGAATCCGAGGCAACTTAATAGATTGGGTAACGGACTTCTTAACCTCTAGACAATTTCGCGTAAGAGTTGGTAATAGTTTCTCCCAAACCAAATATGTTGTCAGTGGAGTGCCTCAAGGATCAGTCCTTGGTCCCATACTTTTTCTATTATATACTGCCGATATTTCTGTGTACATAAAAAGCTGTTGCTCCTTCTAGGCAGACGATTTACGCTAATCCGATTACGGACTATCAGTCTCTTCAATCTGATTTAAGTGAGGTATCAAAGTGGAGTTCAGACTGGTTATTACCGCTAAACGTTGATAAATGTGTTGTTCTTCATATCGGTAAAATTGGTGTATAATATAATAATATTAAAGACAGTATCGTCCCAAAATGATTTATTTATTTATTATTAAACAATCAAACTCTTATTAAAAAAGACTTTTGACAATGTTTCTCCCTCAACATTTTTGAAAATATACACAACATATGTTCGTCCTTGCCTGGAGTACTGTGGTCCTGTTTGGTGTCTCGTATTAATCTCGGATCAAAAAGAGGTTGGAAAATGTGCAGCGACATGCGACAAGGCTTCGTATGGTATAAGAAGGCCACCGTATGAATAGCGTCTGTCTACGGCTAATCTGACTCTTTTTAGTGAGCGTCGACTGCGTGGTGATTTAATCGTTTGTTTTCGCGCAATTAGGTATATGTTCGGTGTCGATCTTTCGGATTTATATGTATTAAATAATGACCTGCGCCTACAAATAATGACCTGCGCCTACGTGGGCAGATGTTAAAATTAAAAAAGGAAAATTTTAACTCTAGAATTGGGCAAAATTTTCTTTCAAAGCGAGTTTTCTCTGTTTGGAACAATTTACCTGATAACGTTGTATGCGCACTTTCAGTTAATTTGTTTAAAAACAAATTTGATTCCTTAGGCTAAGTAATACTTATGTATATATTTGTATAGAGACAATAAATTATAATCACAACAAATTAAGTAATGTAACTTAAAGTAATTTATTGTCTTTATACTTTCCTTTTTTTTTAATAGAGAGTTGAAGTAATGTGAACGTAAACGTATACGTGAAAATTGACATCTACGCATGCGTATTTAAATATCCTTCACGTTGACGTCTACGTTCATACGTAAGCTGACGGACTCTGTCGTATGTACGCAACGCAAACAAAATAACCTCTTTTTAATTGGGAAAGAAGAAATCCTGATATTAATTGCCATTATCTGTCATGGCACGTAAATGTCACGATGCGTTTAACAACTTCAACTCAGATTTTGGACTTCAACGTAAACAATAGAGAGTTGAAACGTTTCCAGTACGTTAACGTGAACACAGAAACATAATGTTTACGTTGCTGTACAAAATATGAGTTGAAGTTGTTAAACGCATCGTGACATTTACGTATCATGACAAATAATGACAATTTAAATTGGGATGTCTTCTTTTACAATTAGGCATTCCAACGACCTGTCCAAATGGCTACCAGTGGGTAATGACAGTTTAGATATGGCAACCCTGTTGTCATGTTGTCATTAACAGGGTCAATGAACATATATAGTTATATAGATTGCTCAGAGCTGGTCGTTTACGAGCGGCCATATTGCCTGGCAAATATTTATTAATTTGAATCGGTTTAGCAAAAATGTGTTTTAAAACCAATTTTTAGCCTTTAGATATTTAAAAAAAAATAATTGCTTACATTTTTACTTCAAGGCATACGCTTATGTTTATTTTGAAAAATATGGATAATCAATCTATGTAACTATCTATTTCATTGACCTTGTCAAATCACCAGGTCTACAGGGTTGCCATAATTTTGCAATATCATAACCTGTCAAAGCCCACTGGTAGGCATTCAGTTTGGAATGCCTAATTAGGCATTCCAAACTGAATGGCTACCAGTGGGTTCTGACGGGTTATGATATGGCAAAATTATGGCAACCCTGTAGGCCTGGTGATTTGACAAGGTTAATGAAATAGATAGTTACATAGATTGATCATCCATATTTTTCAAAATAAACATAAGCTTATGTCTTAAAGTAAAAATGTAAGCAATTATTTTTTTTTAAATATCTAAAGGCTAAAAATTGGTTTTAAAACACATTTTTGCTAAACCGATTCAAATTAATAAATATTTGCCAGGCAATATGGCCGCTCGTAAACGACCAGCTTTGAGCAATCTATATAACTATATATGTATCATTGACCCTGTTAATGACAACATGACAACAGGGTTGCCATATCTAAACTGTCATTACCCACTGGTAGCCATTTGGACAGGTCGTTGGAATGCCTAATTAAGAAGAGGTTATTTTGTTTGCGTTACGTGTATACGCCAGAACCCGTAAGTTTACGTATGTACGTAGTCGTAAACATGAAGGATATTTTAATACGCATGCGCAGATGTCAAATTTCACGTATACGTTCATAACATCACTTCAACTCTTTATTATATTTCTGCGTTGATGTTAACGTACTGGAAATACTTCAACTCTCTATTATCAATTTATAGTTATAGTTTAAAAAAATGTTTATTTTTAATTAAATTTTTTTGAATAATATGAGCTTTATAGGACTTCGGTTCTCAGCTCATGTCAGTGAATAATAATAATAATAATAAAAATAATAAAACAATCTTGATATCACAAAAAAGATTATATTAATCACAAATCACAATACAATATAAAAATACACAATTACGAAAAGTAATAAATATTACTTGCAATAGTTCCACATTTACACCTTAAATTCGAAACAGATACTTGCGACATTGTCCTTATTTTTCCAAAAGCGAAAGGTACTGTCTCAGAAACATTTCTTCCTGCACGAGATTTGTATCTAAATAATCATCATCGACAATCTCCATGTCTTCTTTCAGTCTGTGCAACGCTTCGGTTTTTTCTTTGCTATCCTGACGCCTCCTTTTGATGTTTTCCAGGCTCTCTTCACCAACTAAAAATAAAAAAGTTGATTGAAGTGGTCTATTCGTATATGCTGTCCACATCTTTTTAATTTAAACTTGCTCTGTTTTTGCAATTTTTATGGCTTAGAATTAATTGAATTGTTTTTAGATAATTTTAATAAAATTTACAGTTTCTTTGTAAATTGGTGTTGCATGGCGTACTGTGCAAACCTAAATATCATATTTATGAGCTCATTTCAAGCAAACAATTTCCTATGAACAAATATCTAATTTTTCATGGTTACCGAGCTACAAGCGTTCAAACAGAAGATAAGGTCGTTTATTAACTATAAACGTCAGTTGACTAGTCAGTCCTAAACTTATCAACTACGTCTCCTGTTTGTGATAAATTTAAATTTGCAACAGCTTCTGTTGTTTTCGAATGAAAAATATGCCAGTATAATGTACATTTATGGATTTTGTAATGGCAATTCGGGAGCTACTTGCAAGGAGTATCTGTGACGATTTCCGTATCGACAAATCCCAAATCATCAAACATTCAGTGCTACAAGCGTTCAAACAGAAGATAAATTAACAAAGTATGCCATGTTCTCAAAATATTTGGTCCTTTGTTTATTAACTATAAACGTCAGTTGACTAGTCAGTCCTACGGTTCCTGTTTGTGATAAATTTAAATTTGCAATATTCTTGTGTTGTTTTCTAATGAAGAATATGCCAGTATAATGTACATTTATGGATTTTGTAATGGAAATTCGGGAGCTGCTTGTAAGGAGTATCTGCTACGATTTCCGTATCGACAAATCATAAATCACCTAACATTCAGTTCTGTGTGCTATGAAATAGAAATATTTTATTCTCAGTAATACATATATAAACATGTTTACATAGTCGTCAGTACACATAAATGGTAAAATACACCACATTTTACATACATTAACATACAGCATATTCGTATAAAATTTAAAATAAAAAAGGATTTTAAAAGATTATGGTTGGTAATAGTAATAAAACAAAAAAAACACACAATATTAAAAATCTGATGTGTCCAACACATGACTTTCCTATCTAGTTATTATAGGCTTTTTCCGGTTATTTTGTACAACCTATTGCAGCATCTCTATAAATGTTTAGAGGATAAACTAAATATATACATTGTCCACATACATCTACCTCGAAACATTTTTCTATAGATATTCATTGAAAACGAAAATACTGAAAAATTAAAATTTAGCACTTTTCCATTTTAGAAAAATCATGATAAACAAAAATTATAGAGATCGATATCGCAAACAACTTTTAGTTCAACAATTTTCATAAAAATCAGAGAGAGAGAGAGAGAGAGAGAGAGAGAGATATGCTTTATTGTCGTAAAAAAATTTACAAAAATTTTATAGACAAAGCGTGTAACTTAAATACTAAACATATTATAAAAATAACTAAACAGCAGAAAAAACAAACAGAAACAAACAGACAAAATAGGAATAACAATTGCAATGGATATGCAATATCCGTCATTATAATTATTCTAATTTAATTTTTAAATTTAAATTTAAACTTTAATGTTTAATTATTTAATTAATGCCATTGTATGTGGAACTCAAATGTCTAAGGTACGTTATAAAATTCTGCTACTGTGTAATATGGTATTTCTAGAAGAAAAGCTTTAGCCAGTCTTCGGAACTTATCGTATGTATTTATAGATTTTAATTGCATCGGAAGGTTATTATACAATTTTTTGGCATTGTAGGTAATGGAATGTTTTAATAGGTCAGAATTTTGCACATTTTGTCAAATTTCTCGAATACGGACCATTTCAGGAAATTTTGACATAAAGCAAAAATTATAGATAATAATATTAGAAGTAACTTTTATTTGAACAATTTTCTTCTCCAAACATAAATAACAGATATATTCCATAAAATATAAAAACGGCCTTCCATAAAGTACCCCCCCAGATGTTCCGACTTTGTCCAAAATCTAATCATTTCACGTCAGGCCGAAATAAACCTTAAGTTTAAAATTTAATGTTTTTTTCTTTATCCGTTTTTGAGTTTTCTTCAAAATTCGAAATTTACACATTTTCTCAAATATCTCGAATACGGTCCATTTTAGAGAAATTATGTATAGAATAAAAATTATAGAGAATTATATCACAAACAACTTTTATTTGAACAATTTTTATAAAAAAATATTTTTTTTACATTTTGTCAAATTTCTCAAATACGGACCATTTTAGGAAAATTTTGTATAGAACAAAAAATACAGATAATTATATTAGAAGTAACTTTTATTTGAAGAATTTTCTTCTCCAAACGTATATAACAGATATATTCCATAAAATATAAAAATGACCACCCATAAAGTACCCCCCCCCCAGATGTTCCGACTCTGCCCAAAATCTAATCAGTTCATAAGACGCTGGAATAAAGCTTAAGTTTAAAATTTTGTGTTTTTCACACACACACGCACGCACGCACGCACGCACGCACGCACCCACACACACACACACACACACACACACACACACACACACACACACACACACACACACACACACACACACACACACACACACACACACACACACACACACACACACACACACACACACACACACACACCACACACACCACACACACCACACACACCACACACACCACACACACCACACACACCACACACACCACACACACCACACACACCACACACACCACACACACCACACACACCACACACACCACACACACACACACACACACACACACACACACACACACACACACACACACACACACACACACACACACACACACACACACACACACACACACACACACACACACACACACACACACACACACACACACACACACACACACACACACACACACACACACACACACACACACACACACACACACACACACACACACACACACACACACACACACACACACACACACACACACACACACACACACACACACACACACACACACACACACACACACACACACACACACACACACACACACACACACACACACACACACACACACACACACACACACACACACACACACACACACACACACACACACACACACACACACACACACACACACACACACACACACACACACACACACACACACACACACACACACACACACACACACACACACACACACACACACACACACACACACACACACACACACACACACACACACACACACACACACACACACACACACACACACACACACACACACACACACACACACACACACACACACACACACACACACACACACACACACACACACACACACACACACACACACACACACACACACACACACACACACACACACACACACACACACACACACACACACACACACACACACACACACACACACACACACACACACACACACACACACACACACACACATATATACATCGTCGCAAAAATAGTCAAAACGGATTCAGGGGACCTCAAAACGTAAAAATCCGTCGAAAACTCGAGGTCGAAAAAAATCATGATTCCTATGCTTTCCTGATATCTGTATACAGATAGGAAAGTAAAAATATTAGGTGACATGTTTTTACACAAAATAATCGTTAGTGTTATATAGACACATGTCCAGTAATATCTTTTTAATTTGATGTTTAAACTTTTTTCCTGGTAGATTACGGATGTGGGGCGGAAGTTCATTATATAATGAAATGCCTATTGTTCCGGACTTGTTTATTCTAGTTCTCGTTTGGATTAGCTGATTTTTCTCTCTGGTATCGTATGTATGATTGTCTGAGTGACATGTGAAGTTTCCCAAATTATTTTTTATGGCTAGCAAGTTTTCAAATACTATTTGCGAAAACAAGGTCATTATGCAAAGTTGCTTAAATAGTGGTCGGCATGGTTCATAATAATTTACCCGCAGAATAGAGCGAACTGCTGATTTTTACAAGATAAAAAGTCTTTGTAGTGAAGTTAGAATCCCATATGTTAAATTGGAATGGAATAAGCCATAATAAGTAGTTATAGCTGCTTCTGTATTAACTATATTTGATATTCTACGTAGAGCAAACGTGAATTTTGCCAACTTGTTGCATAAGTTATTTATTTGATAGTTCCATGTAAGTTGTGTCAAAATATATACCGAGAAATTTAATGTCCATTGTTTCACTAGTAGTTTGGTTCAACCTGAAGACACATGTTTCACTTTAATTGTGATTTAAAAATAATTCGTTGCTATCAAACCATTGTTTAGCTTCAGTCATAATCTTAGAGTTTTTGATAACTATGTCAGATGTGTTATTGCAGTGATATGAGAAATTGGTATCATCTGTATTCATGGTAGTTAGAAATTCGGCATTATTTGAATTCATATATGATGGAAGATCATTTGTATATATTAAAAATAATAGAGGGCCTAGTACGGATCCTTGTGGAACACCTCTTTTCATTAATAAAGGTTTATTTCTGTAATATACACTTTGTTTGTTTTGCAAATAAGAAGCAATCATCTTATTTGCAATGCCTCTAATATCTAGTTTGTTGATTAACAATGTGTGACTTACACAGTCAAATGCTTTAGACGGATCAGTGAATATAGCTACGCATGGTGATTTGTTTTCTAAAGACTCCTGAATGTTATTCATTAAAGCCAGCATGGCATCTGTAGTTGTTGTCCCATGTCTAAAACCATATTGTTCCGCAGAAAACAGGTTGTTGTTTTCAAAGAAATGCACAATTTGTTTTACTATAACACTTTCAAGTATTTTAGAAAAACATGTTAAAATATGTATTTGGCGAAAATTTTCAGGTACTGAGTCATCTCCTTTTTTGTGGCATGGTAGAACTTTGGACGTTTTAAAAATATCTGGAAAGGTACCTTCAGCATATTCGAACACATGGCATACTATGTTAATTTATCTTCTGATATTTGAACAGTTGTAGCTCGGCAATCATGGAGAATTGAATATTTTTTCAAAAGACATATTTTTGCTTGAAATAAACTCAGAATATGCTATTTAAGTTTGTACAGTACGACATACAACATCCTGTATAAATGAACATCTAGCGCATTGCCATTATTTATCGATTCTTCACAAGAATCACTCATTTTTATTTGTATTTAATCTCAATAACTAAAAATACGAGTATACGACAATTACTTTGAAAGAATTGTAATTTATTTAAAATTAAAAAAAAAAAAAATAGTAGCCGGGCATTAACTACGAATTGTGATTGGATGATTTCATAGCCATAGTGAATGAATAAATTATATCCGTTCAGTAGACTGATACGGACCTACTTATTTCGATACCTTTTTTACCAGACTATCGTAAGTGCCATTTGAACAAATTTCACATACGTAAGTCTGGCAAAAAGGTATCGATTTGTTCTTTAGTCTGTGCAGAGAATAGATAATATACATGTGGGTGTAGAAAATAGTTATTAAGTAATGAAATTAGCATACTTAGGTCCGATAAATCTCCGGCAATTATCCCATCATTAGTAATAAGTTCTTCGGCAGCTTTCATGATATCGCCGGAGTGTTTTTTTAACGCCATTTTTGCCATTCGGGAATCAAAACCGGCATCTTCTAGCTAAAAATTAAAAAAATAAAAAACTCCGCTCCATACAAAATCGATTCTCTGACCTTTTAAACACAGCATAACAATGACCAGCAGGTGCTACCGGCCTAAAAATATAATCCTATGCAAGAGCTTCGCCATTTTCTCCGGTCGCGCGTTTGCAAAATTGGTGCATATGCACCAGAATTATGATCGAAGTGAACGAAACCATACTTATTAAGTTCAAAGGATTTATTATCGAGAGCGCCTACTGGTCCTTCTTTATGCTGTGTTTTAAATAAAAGAGCAGGTGGTTTTTGTTGAGCCCTATATATTATTAAATCTTGTTAAAAAGAATAAGCATCAAGATGGTTTTCAAAATATCTTAAAAATATTAGTTTACTTGTTTTTAACTTTATTTTTTTTAATTACTTGGATAATCATTACAAGAAAATACCCAACATTTTCGTTAACATGAGATAAGTTTAATTGATTTCAATACTTTTTACTACCTGAAATACTTACATTTGTATTCCCAAACCATTTTTTAATAGTTACCTACAGGTAAATTCTTATAGATATAGAAACGTCAATTCAGAGAAAAAGTAGAATTGGATAATATTCTGATTTTTTAATTATACTTTGAATTGTTAGTAAAATAGTTATCGAGACAATGGTAAAATTCAAATAAATGAGGTTACTTTCCTCAAATCATTTACAAATTAAATGTTCGTTAATATTTGTCTGGAAACATTTAATAAATTGACAAAAAAAAAACATATATCTCTGTATCTGTAACGTGTGGAGGGTGGGTTACCCCCCACGGCATTTATGCCTCATTAGGCCCATTGTGCATCCTCCTAAGATGATAGGCACCTCCTATCTCGTGAGCCAGCCTACAGATTTAATGTAGTTGACAACGTCGCTAAGAGGTGCTTCTCTTATATCGGCCGGTGTTAGCCGATACTCGCCGAACACAAATCTTCTAATAAATGAAAGCGTCGAGCAATCGTAAAGGATATGCTCCATGGCCTCATCTTCTTGTTCGCACCCTCTGCAGAGTGCGGATTCCGACAGCCCCATGATATGGAGATGCTTCCGTACTTGGCAATGGCCAATCAGAATGCCTGTGACTAGGCCCAGATTCTGTCTAGTCATAGTCAAGTATTTGTTTGCTGCAGTGTTGTCAGGATAACTTAGGAGCTTCCTCGCAACTCTGCAGTTTCTTGATTCATCCCATCTTTCCTTGAATTTCACAAAGGAATGTTCTTTAATTAGGTCTGTCATTACCGATTTTGTCAGGCCAATAGAAGGGCCAGGTCCAAAAAGTATTTGGTTGGCTGCTTGCTTGGCTAGTGAATCAGCAAGACGGTTACCTTTCGATGTGGCGTGACCTTTGATCCATCTTAAGGTGACCACATTATTGATGGATACATCTGCCAAAGTTTCGTGGCATTCTAGTACTAACCCTGAATAAATTCGTGGTCTGTTCAGGGTGAGTAGTGCTTGTCTGCTATTTGTATAAATGAGTATGTTCCTTCCAGTGATATTGTTTCTGGTTATTTCTTTTGCTGCTATGAGAATTCCCGTTAGCTCTGTTTGAACTACACTGACACTATTGCTCACAGCCCATTTTATGTTTAGGTTTAAGAATCTGGAGTATATTCCACATCCTGAGCCTTGTTTTGTTTTAGAACCGTCGGTGTAGATATAAATCGTACCTGCCACTTCTGGCTCTTCTATTTGTTTTATTATAACTTTATATGGCTTATGGAAGATATATCTCGGTGAGATGGAGTCCATGATCGCTTGAAGCAGTGGAAGCGTATCGAACGCCTCCTGCCAAAAGCGACGTCTCGCCTCACCAGATCCTACATCAGGTTCTATTCCAACCGTGCGGAGACGTGTCATTGTCGTCACAGCAACCTCCTTGATGTAAATATCAAGGGGAGTGAGACTAAGAATGACTTCCATGGCTTTGGTCGGTGTTGTTGTCATGGCTCCTGTTATGTTGAGACGTACTGTTCTTTGAATTCGTGTACGGAAAGCTGTTAATTTTTGTGCAGAAAAACATGTAAATAATGTTAATTTATCAAGATTTAAATAATTAACTCTTCTGGGCAGTTATTATAATGATGTTTCTATCTCTAAGGTTATACATGTGAGTAAACTTAAGTACCTCAGCTACTCTTCGGTAGTAAACTATTTACTTAAGAGTAATAATCTTATCAAGGTATATATGTATTACTTAAATAATTTTATATGCCTGATGATGGTCATTGACCGAAACTAGTCGCCTTTCGCCAATTTTAATAACAAATTTGTTTTGGTTAAGACACTGTGAATTTTCCCTTCCTTTAACTATTTACTTTTTTCAAATATTATTTTCCTAAATACTTATTTCAATTAAAAGTACTCACTTCTTGTGATAGATCATCGATAAAAGATAAAAGTTCTGTACTTCTAGAACCGCTAGGACCAGGTAAAGGATTGTCTTGTATATATTCGATACTGTCTGATATGACGTTATTTGTATGCTTTAGAGCAATCCCGGCAGCCTCTTTACTATAACCCATATTGACGAGAATTTTCAAAAAATTCGGATCCACGTACTGCTTACCGTCAGCGCACATTCCCAATTTCTTCCTTTCCCTGAAATTTTCAAAATTTGGCTTACATATTTTTAATTATTTCATAAAGGTATGCAACTAAATAATTTTTAATGTTTAAATGAATAGAATCTTAAAATTCAAGAATCTAGAATGAAGATATATATACTCTTTCCAAAACCAATCCAACATAGCGTTTGTACCGGAGGCGCGTAATAATTTACGTTATGCTATATCCTCACATTGCAAATAAGCGCGAAAAATATTGTATACTCCACTTTTAAAACAGAGGAGCTGCTAGACAACGTGGACTTGATTGACGTGTGTCACAAGCCCATCGTCTTCTTTATCTACCAATGAAACATCGCAATCGGGAACTTGGAGGCGTGTTCGAAATAAGTTTTTATAATTTATGGCACGCCGTAAAGACTGGTCTTCGGACTCTTCGGTTATTATGTCGTTATTCAGTAGCGTGCACGGTGTGAAACCTTTCTCAAACGTTTGTTATACCTATAAATTTTTCTTGTTTTTATTTTAAGGTGTTTCTGTTAAATTTTGATTTGTGTTGTACGAGATGGCTTTCTGGAGACCATTTGAGGTAAATGTAGATGCTAATGAATTGCAGGTTAATGATGATATTCACATTAATAATGAAATTGCAATAAATAATGAAATTCAGAATGATGAAGTACAATTAAATGCAGTACAAATTAATGATGAAATACGTATTAATAATGCAATTCAAAATAATGACAATCAAGGTGAAACACAATCTTGGGAATTCAAAAACCAAGACTTACATATTCAAGTTCAACAGGTCATTTTAAATATGTTTGTTTGTCTTAAATCAGAAAATCCAAATATTTTACAAACAGATGCAGTTAAAAGAATATGTAAGTTAACAAAAATTCCCTATTCCACAATCTATTTGGTTATTAAACGAGGCGTTATTGAACACAGTCAAAAAAGAAAACGTGTCGTCAGCCGTCGGATAGATGATGCATCTAAAGATGTGATTCGACGAACGGTTTACAGCACGTATAAAGAAAACCAAGTCTCAACCTTAGAGATACTTTTTAGAAAATTACAATATTTTGAAGATTTCAAATATAAATCATTAGAATCACTTCGACAAATTTTAATAACTTGTAATTTTAGATATAAAAAGTTAGATAGCCGAATGTGCATTATAGAGTCGCGCCGAATTGTGGAATTACGTCAAATTTATTTAAGGAAAATTTTTAAATTTAGAAATAGCAATAGAAATATAGTTTATTTAGATGAAACATGGTTCGACACTCATGATGTCGTTCAACGTGGTTGGGCAGACGGTTCACAAAATTGTGTTTTAAATGCACCATGCTCGAGGGGGAAACGAGTCATAATTTTACATGCCGGAAATGAAAATGGCTTTGTACCAAACGCTTTGCTACTTTCAGCAAAAAATATCAATAAAGCTCTGCTGGATTATCATGAAGATATGAATGCAGCAGTTTTTGAGAACTGGTTTGCTGAACAACTTTTACCGAATATTTCACCAAATTCAGTCATTGTAATGGACAATGCGTCATATCATTCCCGGCAAATTCATAAGAAGCCAAATAGTGGCTCTAAGAAATCAATTATAATACAATATTTAAAAGATAATAACATTGATATTCCTGCTTCCATAAAAACAAAACCATAATTGTTAGAAATTGTTAAAAATAAGAATATTCCAATACAGTATTATATTGATAATTTTGCAAAAGATGGTGGTCATACTGTATTGAGGTTACCACCTTATTATTGTATACTTAATCCAATTGAGTTAGTTTGGTCTTCAGTTAAACAAAAACTGAGACGTAATAATTTTGCACCTACCTTAACAAATGTGGTTTTGGAAAATATTAATGGCGTTTTTAAAGATCCGCCTTTGACTGACGTTTGGAAAAACAGCGTTAATCACGTCATTAAAAAGGAAAAAGAAAATTATGTTTTACCTTCTATAGCTCCAGTAGTTATAAATCCAAACCTCGATTCCTCGACAGATGGTTCTAATTTAGATTCGGATTAACTTTCTTATTTTTCATTATTGGTAATCCGAGAGTCATCACATTAATACATTTATAGTTTTGTTTTATTTGTAAAGAATTTATTTTCCTTTATGGTTTTTGCTTTGAAATTTCGTTTTCCAGGAAAAAAAACGAATGGGGTACAAAAAGGGCTCAGTTCGCGTCTGGTACCCTGTTTAAACCAAGCTCCCTTACAGGCAGGAACATTTTACTCGTCAATTTATGTTTTATAATTTAATATTCAGTTGTAGCAAGTTAACGAGCTATAATATATTTTTTTTTAAGTTTCAAGAAGAACTATAATTAAGTGCATCTGTCTAAATAACGGCATTTAATGCCTTCCAATTATTGATAATGGAAGAATTATACCCAATTAATAATTTAATTTATTTAATTTTAATAATAAAAAACGATACACCCATGTGCGCGGTCCCTTTGAAGTCGGCGCTAGTCGGTTATAATGCCGTGTTGGATTGTGTCTAGAAAGACTATACTTGCGTGCATTTTTAATCGGAGTCAATAGGCTTCATCCCCTGATTTTTCTGAAGATTTCAAGTTAATATCGATTTTTTTTTCTGAGTTACGATTTTTTTAATATTTCAAGCCTAACTTCCCCATTTTTATTCAAATTTTTTTTTTTTTCAGAATTAATAGGCCTCATGCCCTTATAAAGCTTGATTTTTAAAAAATCTCTTTTCATTTTTGATTTCTGATTTTTTCTTTTAAATTTCAACCCCCTTAACCATTTTTATTCAGATTTTTTATTTCAAAGTCAATAGGTTTCGTCCCCTTATAGAGCTTGATTTTTGTTAGTTGATATTATTTTTCGTTTTTGAGTTAGGATTTTTTTAATATTTCAAATCCCCATTTTTATTCCAATTTTTTTCAGAATCAATAGGCTTCTTTACCAACTTATAGAGCTTGAGTTTTCCTAAAAATTTCGAGTTATCGTTTTTCGTTTTTGATTTAATTTTTTTTTAAATTTCATCCCCCGTTAACCCCTCTTTTTAAGCAACTTTTTTTCAAAACCTTAGGCTTTGTTCCCTTCTAGAGCTTGATTTTCCGAAATATTTCAAGTTAATATCATTTTTCGTTTTTGACTTTTCGTGCGCACAAAAAACGTGACATCGGACGGACGGACATTTTTAAAAGTTGTTTAAAATTTGATGAGAAGGATTTGGGTACAAAACATTTTAAAATTGATATTAAAAATTTTGGTTTCTCGTAAATAAACCTATAATACTCACAGACTACTGTGTGAAGAATAATAAAATGGTAATGAATAGAGAGTTATAGAAAAGTATCTTTTGTACTTCCTTTAATAAAGTTTCTCTTATTAGAGTTATTTTTCTTCAGGGTTTTCGGAAAAGGGTCAGCAGTTTGGTCGCCAAAGAGTTTGTAGGGTGTGTGGGTGTAGGAATTTGAGACATTCAGAGTTTGAGAAACGTATTGTTTCCTGAGTAGTTTGAAACGGGGAATCTATAAGTCTACTGTTACTGTCAGTGGAATATAAATTACGTCATCACTAATATAGAAATATACTAGAACGAAATGAATTAAATCTCTAAGAAACATTCTTACCCGTTGCGAAGTAAACAAATCATTTTAAAGTTTAAATAAATACCTAACTTTCTCTGTCAATTACACTTTTCATTATTTATATATCGTTTTTAAGGATGAACTGTCATTGTTTTTCTTAAAAAATGCAAATAGGTACTAACTTTTCCAAAATGGCTTCAGCTTGAGCTTTCCTGCGACCTTCAGCTCGTTTATTTCTATTCTCATTGATGTAGTTTGCAGCATTATTAACATCGCCTCTAGCAGCTCTTAACCCAATCGTGGCTTCTTTGATGGAGAATCCTAAAGCAACACGTGTTTCTGATTAGTCTCCTTGAAAATCGTTGTTTTATACAGACTTAACCATGAAGTAATTTTCAATTTTTATATAAAAATGCTTATTTTCTTATTCAATTAACTTACCTAATTCTACTAATGCAGTTATACTATTTTCATCCACACGTAGATGTCGAACCTCTTCTTCTACTTTGCGGAAGAGATTTAGAGCTTCGGGTCTTTTATTTTGGTGATATAGTACAATGGCTTGCAGTAAATGCAATCTCATGAAAAGTGCCTCCTCATTACCTAGATTAATTTTAAATAAATTACCATAATTTGCTTTTCTGCTAAATAAATAATTATTTGCAGGGTAATTTTCAAAAAAAAAATAAATTTGTTTGGTAAAAATAAAAATTTGGCATCACTGTCACATGAAATTTGAACCACAGATTTCAAAAAATAAAATATACATATATCTATTTAAAAAAGCAAAAGGTAAAACCGAAAGTCGGTTATTTTGTTTAAGTATAAGTGTCATTTAGAAATTATGTCTAGTACGTTTGTCCCAAATTTGATCCAAATCGCTTTATAAATAAAAAAGATAAAAAAATCGCTCTGCGATAAAGTGTGTGACTTATTCCAACATTATTCCAATTAATATTTACAAAAGGATATGTAAATAAAAATAAATATGAACATTTCTTTTTGACAACTCTCAACAATGGAATATTAGGAATATTAACGATAAATCTCAGAACACTCGAAGAGGAATTTTATTAATTATTAAAATGTATTGGAAAATAAATAATAACCTGGAGTTCCTTTAATTTCGATCAGTCTTTCCAAGTTGCTTCCGTATGTCGAACGAAACTTTTCCTCGCATCTTTGTAACCGTTCATATGCTTCTGGAAGTTGCACGAAACTTTCCAAGTTCAAGTAACACCAAGCGATGTCTAAATCCAATAGGGCGTAGTTGTCGACAGTCTTCAGTAGCTGTGAATTGCATTGTCTTGAAAAATACAAATAATTAATTAGTTTTTCAATGAAAAAAAAATGCATTATTTATTAAGAAAAATATTATGGATAATAACTGGAATTTAATAAGTTTTGTTTTGTATGGTTCATTAGGAAACAAAATAATTACTGTAAAATGAAATATTTAAATTATAATAATAATAAACGTCTTTATTTTAATAAGCCTCGGCGGAGTCCAGCATAGCTGTTCCACTCAACCGAGTACCAAATACAAACATTTCATATACGAGTAATACATTGTTATAATAATAATAATATTTATTGGCAAAAGTAAATACATAAATAACAAATAACAATCGGTTATATGTGGTAATATGACAATAAATATTTGCAATTTCTACGAGGCTGGAATGCCTGTGTGTAGATTAAATATTTTATACAATGTTGAACTAAACTAAACTAAGAACTAACAAAATTAAACGATTTAAAAATAATACAAAGGTTTTATTACTCAAGTAAATTTTTTTTACCGAATGAAATAAATTCTTTTTAATTTTCAACTAACGTGCGCAATTCTAGTCGTTCTATTTCTTTAACAAATATTTTAGAGCCTTTTTAAATTTAGAAATTGGTACTATATTTTTCAGTGTTTCAGGCAAATAATTAAACATTTTTGGTGCCATAAATTGGTAACTTTTTTGACCTATAGATTTGCACATATGCGGAATTTTTCCTTTTGGCGAGTGGCATACTGATGAGAGGAGTTATGCAGCTGTTTTTTGTTTAGGTACTGGTTTATGTTTATTCGAATAAAATAAAGTTGTCTTAAATCGTTTATTTCAGCTTCTTCGTACAAGTCATTGGAAGGGTACAGAAAGGGTTTATTCAAAATTATTCTTAAAAACCGTTTCTGCATTATTTCAAGCGGTTTAAGGTAAGTTTTGGCCATTCCCCCCAGCTCACTAGGCCATAACTTAGGTGAGATTCTACAAGGCTATAATATAGTATTTTCATTTGGGCAAATAAAGCAAATTAAACTTGTTTAAATCTTCCTAGAATACATCGTAGTTTTTTAATTAAAAATGAAACATGTATATCCCATTTAAGATGGCTATCTAGCATTATTCCTAAATATTTGATTTCTTTTCCGCCACTAATCGTAGTATTTTCATCTTTATCTAGGGAATTGAAGTTAGGAAGATATGATGCATAGCTGGTAAACGGTAAGTATAAGGTTTTTGAATAATTGATAGAGAGTAAGCGATTATCGAACCATTTCTTAACTTCCGTAAGACCGTGTTCTATTAATGATTTTAATTCGGTCCAGGATGTATGGCTATATATAATGACTGTATCATCTGCAAACGACAAAATTTTTCCCCCTCCATGCTTTACTTCGAATAAATTATTAAGATATATATTAAACAGTAATGGACCTAGTACAGTCCCTTGAGGTACTCCGCACGTAATATATTGATCTTCACTTAAATAATTTTTTATTTTAACTTTTTGTTTTCTTCCCAGTAAGTAGCTTTCTAGGAGTTTGTATGGAATGCCTCTGACTCCCACATCTTCTAGACTTTCTAAAAGAAGTTGATGATCGACTGTATCAAATGCTTTCGATAAATCTAAGAATACCCCAATTGTAGGGATTTTTTTATCTATTTTGTCATAGACGTAAGATGTTAATTCTAAAATAGCATCGTTTGTAGATTTTCCTTCTCTAAACCCAAATTGCATTTTATTGAGTGTTTTATGTTTTGTTAGGAACATATTTAATATTTTCTTTATAACTTTTTCAATTATCTTTGAAAATACTGATATGGGCCGATAATTGCTTACCTCCATTTTATCATTGTTTTTATAAATCGGAATTATTATTGAATTTTTAAATATAGCTGGAAAACACCCGTCTTTAAAAGATTTATTTATTAGATATACTAGAGGTTGGAGTATGGTTTCCAATATACATTGAATATTTTTGGTTGTTATGTTATCTGGTCCTGGAGCACTATTTGTTTTTAGTTCTGAAATAATTGATTTAATTTCGTTGGAGTTGGTTGGTAAAAGAAACAGTGAGTGGGGACATGTTTTTTTTACTTCTTTATAGTTTAGGTTATTTTTTATTTTACTAGCTAGTTGTGTACCCACATTTGAAAAATAGTTGTTAAAGGCAGATGCAATAGCTTCGGGTTGTGTAATTATTTCATTTTTATTTTTTATTTCTTTTATTTCATTTGTGTTACTTGTTTTTGAGAGTATTTCATTTAGATTTAAATTATTTAATATACATTTTATATAGACACATGCAATAAGAAAATTAACAATACATAAACACAAACTTTAAAACAAAAGAAATTTTTTCAGTAATTTTTTAAAGATTCATTTTTACATTGATCAGGTAGACTGCATTGTATGAGAAAGATCTCTTGTAGAGAGTTGTTCTATGTTTAGGTATAACAAGAAGGCTAGTATTTCAGTTATGAACATTCGAGCTAAATGTCAATTTTTTCCTAAGGTATGCTGGATTATTATTTCTCAGCAGTTTGTGTACAAAGGAAGCCATGTGAAGTTTTCGTCTAATAAACATATTAAGCCACCCCAATTCTTTCAATTTGTTTGAAACATGATCTCTAGATGTTAATGAGCCTAACGCACGAGTTTTAAATTCTATGTAGGCTCGCCGACGAGTCTACATCTAAACATGGCCTATAAACAAAATCAGCATAATTGGTATGACTTAATATTAACGTCTCATAGAGTTGTATTTATAGAGATGCGTTCAAAAAAGATCTGCTTCGATATAGATTTTTTAAAGAGCAATAACATTTTTGGACAATGGATCTAACTTGTTTCTTAAATCTCAATTTAGTGTCGATATAAATTCCCAAACTTTTGACTAAGTCACATGGCTTAACTACCACATTATCAATTTCGATATTCAAATTATCTTTTAGGGTTGTAAGTGCAGTTATTAAGGCTGTTTTCGCGGTTTACTATTTTAGCATTGTTCATGTATATTAATTATTAATCATCAGTATAATTTCATTTTTTGCTGAAGTATTCAAAAGAAACACCCTAATAATCTCCAGTCTTTTTATTTTTTTGTTACACCCTAGTTTTTTAAATAAAAATTAAAAATGAATATTAAATTTTATAAGATTAAGACGATATAAATTTTTGGAAAACGAGTTTGTAGCTAATTTTTTTTAAATTTTTTTTTCTATTTACAAGTTTTTTACGTGTTTTGTAACTAATTATGAAAGAAAAGTCGTGCAGTTACTAGCAGAAGGTTAGACTATTGTTATTATACATTTTACTAAAGAAAAATAAATATAATTTGATTGATATGCGAATATGATTTTTATTGAATAATTTCCAAATTATATCAAATTCATGAATATTTTGAGAAATATCTCGAATCGAAAACAATTTTCAAAATATTCCTAAGAACAGATTATATTAATTTTTAATTTATTGGACATATTATAAAAGTAACCTTTATTATTTTATTATTTCAAATCCTAATGTTCTAACACCCCACAATGTCTTTTCGACAATACTCAGCTCATAATGAGTTGGTAAGTGAAAGTATTTTTGAAGCAGCTTGGGAGGCCATATGGAACAAGCAGGACTGGAATAATTGCAATAGCAAAAGATATTGGAGAAGAAATAGATCATTGGTAATAGTAATAAAAAATATATAAAAAAAATACAATATTAAAAATATTAGGGACATGTTCCACTCTTACAAAATAATCGTTAGTGTTATATAGACACATGTCCAGTAATATCTTTTTAATTTGATGTTTAAACTTTTTTCCTGGTAGATTACGGATGTGAGGCGGAAGTGCATTAGAGAATATAATGCCTATTGTTCGGGACTTGTTTATTCTAGTTCTCGTTTGGATTAGCTGATTTTTCCCTCTAGTTTCGTATGTATGATTGTCTCAGTGGCATGTGAAGTTTCCCAAATTATTTTATATGGCTAGCAAGTTTTCAAATATTATTTGCGAAAAAAGGGTCATTATGCTAAGTTGCTTAAATAGTGGTCGGTATGGTTCATAATAATTTACCCGCAGAATTGCTGATGTTTGCAAGATAAAAAGTCTTTGTAGTGAAGTTAGAATCCCATATGTTAAATTGGAATGGAATAAGCCTTAATAAGTAGATGAACAAGAAAATGGTCCAATTGCAGTGAATGTTGACGGTGCATGGTCTAAGCGGTCATATAAAGTTAATTATAACGCTTTATCTGGAGTTGTTAGTTTATATTTTAATATTATAGCGTGTGATCCAAAAACAATGTTTCTAAAATAAGCCATGACCGACAGAATTGTGAAGAATCCGTCATGCGTGATTTTTCCATGGTCTACTTTAAAAACATTTTCATATTTGACAACATATACAGAGTTTATTTTTTAATGCACTTATTTTTTACAGGCTTGCATTATTGGGGCGAAAACTGGAAAAGTTTTGTATGTTTCTTCTAAAAGTAAGTATTGTCCTATCTGTGCTTGAACTTTAACTAAAAACATAAAAGTTGCAACTCATAAATGTTCAAAAAATTGGGATGGTTCGTCGACTTCTATGGAATCGGAACTAATTAATTTTAGAAGAATTCCGTAATAGTATAAAAATGCACAAAAAAAAGTTTTGAGTGATAGAATTTTGAAGTTAGGAGTGGGAATTAAATCGGCTATAAATTACCACATCAGTGATATTGTTGACAACGTGAAGCAATTAACTGCAGACATTAAAAACTCTCCTTACCACACATTTGGAAATCATTCCAACTGTGCAAAATATTTTTGTAAAAAAAAAAACAAAACGATAGAAATTATGCGACAGAAATTAAAGAATGTGGACTAATGGATGACATTGTATCTGCTGGTAATAGGCTGGTTCAAAACAGCGACAGTTTATTATTAAACATGACTAATAATGCTGCAGAGACATATAATTCAATCGTAGCCAAATTTGTTGGAGTAAAGAGAATTAATTTTGAAGTGAAAGGAGAATATAATGTTCGGTGTACAGCTGCAGCCATTTCTTTTAATAAAAAAGAGAACTATATTCCCACTCTTTATAAAAAGCTATCAAAGAGTGTTCCTGGGATTCACACACAAAGATTGGTAACTCAAATGAGCAAACGTAGATGTGGTAGAAAAGCCAGGGGTCCCCAGTTAAAAAAATGCAAAAGTGGCGCACCTAAAGATAGGGACTACGGACTTTAATGCGATGATGATGATGATGATGACGACGATGTTTTGGAACAAAAAAAACTGCAATTTTTGGATAGTTTACCAAACTCAATAGATAATATTTGTAAAATTCAAGTATCTACTAGAGGTCAGGCCAGTAATCATCTGTGGAAAGAACGTCGTAGTAATATACTCACAGCTTCAAATTTTGGAACCGTTTGCAAATTATGCAAAACAACAGATCCAAAAAAGACTGTTAATAATATATTATTTTCATCTTTTTACGGATCAGTCGCTAAAAAAATGGGGACAAGATCATGAATCTATTGCGCTAGAAGTATTTAAAAATAAATATGGAAAAACGGTACAAGAATGTGGATTATTTATTTATGAAAAACATCCATACTTGGGAGCAAGTCCAGGCGGCATTATTAATAATAATGAAATAATTGTAACTAAATGTCCATATTCTTGTTCTAAATTGATACCAGAAATAGGAATTCAAGAAAAAAAATTAAATACAGATGGCCAAATTAAATTAAAAAAAAAAAGATAATTATTATTATCAGGTACAAGGACAATTGGGTATAACGAAAGCCAAATATTATTATTTTATAGTTTGGACCCCACTAAGAATGTTCGTTGAGAAAATTGAGAGAGATGACAATTTTTGGTTATATGCTGAACCAAAGTTAGTTAATTTTTATATGAAATATTTAATAAAAGAAATTGTAAGAAGAAATTGATGTAATTTATTTTTTTTGTGATTGTATTTTATTATGTGAAATAAAATATTTCATTAAAAATAGTAGGTAATTTAGTGTTTTTTTTATTTAAGTATTTATTTTGACCTATTTTTACTTTCAGTGAAGGAAGAAAAGATAAAACCAATACACTATATTTTTTTATGAAATTAAAACAAAGCATATATATTATGTACAATAAAATATACATGCGTACGATAAAATAGTTTTCAAAAAATTTTTTGTACACACTACAAATTAATTGTGAGATTGATGCGATTATTTTTAAAAAACAAATATTTTAAATTATGTACCACTGTATATTAAAGCACTTTCGAAAAATCAATTTCTTACTTTAAATATACCATAAATAAAGCCATCCAAAGCTTTCGCGCGGATACTAAGTGTATATTATCGAATATTAGTAATAATAACAACAATAATGTTTATTTACAAAAAATACGATCAATAATTGTATGTATAAAAATCCTTTACTATTTTACCTTAGAATATAAATAAAATCAATTTAAATGTAGTTAATCATTTATTTAAAAAATAATTCCACTAGAAGAAGAAAGAAAACTTTCGAATCCATCATTGAAGTAATAAATAAAAATATTCTTTGTAAAGAAAATACTATCAACACAATAGTTACAATATACCGACAAATTTGGCCAGCCCGCGTTCCAGGTGGAGATGAATACTGAGAAGGATAGGCGTCCCATTAGACTGAATGGAGAAAGATAGAATTATTACATGTACAATGGTCTTTACATAAACAAAGAGAGGGTTGTGTATAGATATTCTATGAAATGGATGAGGTACCTCTCAACTTCAACCAAACGGAAAGCGGTAAAACAACCTTAAGAGGTAAAGAGATCGAATATTTTTACATGGTCAGGCGTAAGTGGCAAAAGAACCAAATATTTTTACATAGACAGGCTTAAGGGATATACAATCATTATAGTGATATTTCTATCTTTAAAGGTTTACATGAAATGTGGGTAAATAAATAAAATCTGTTTTTTGAGGAATTACTTATTTTTATGTTCTTAAAATTAAAAAAAGAAAATATTGTTATCAAATCTCGGATTCTACAGTATTTTCTGCATGCACTTCTGTCCTTAAATTTATGATTAAAAAATGATTTTTGTAAATGTTAGTTCAGCAGCGTTAATTAGGTTATTTATTAAGTAATTTATTAAAAATGTGGTAAAATTAGGACTTTTTGATTTGCTGAAAAACAGAAATATTATCTCATTATATGATTATGTTAAAACACATAATCATATTTCAAAAAACTTATTATTTTAATTTATTCCTCCTATTAATCTGATCCTATTTGTAAAACAAATGTTAAAATCTGCATTTTACTAGATTAACTAACGTGTTTACAAATTTTTATCATTTCAAGAAACTAAATAAATGATTCCGATTCTAAGAAATTTCCACTGGAATAAACAATTGATTTTATTAAAATATTCCATACAAATTGAGAACCTCCTCCTTTTTTTGAAGTTGATTCATAATTAGCCCAATAAGTTCCAAACTTCTTTCTCAAAAAACTGACAAAAACGGCTTATTTGGTAGCAAAGAAAAAATAGAAAATAGGAAACAGAAAGATAAGTAATTGTGTTTCAGTTACTATAGAGAATAATATGGGGGTGCCACAAGGTACTGTTCTGGGCCCGCTACTATTTTTAATTTATATTGACATTGCTAGTGTAGTCAAAATAAACGATTTATATATTTCTGTTTAATTAAAATTGATTATTTTAAAATAAGGTAATCACCTGAATTCCTGGTCAGATTCGAGAAAAAATATCAAAGCTCTAGAAAAATCGTTTCGCTTCAAAGCAGCCTTTCCCTTTTCATGCAAAGCCATCGCCACCACTAGAGCCTTTCTTTCGTTGGGTGGAATCTTTATTGGGTTCCCAAACTGGTCTTCTAACTAAAAACAGTATACATTATTCAAAGGTCAGTAATAATGCTTATTAATATGTCATTAAATGCTCATATAACATCCGACGGAGTAAATAACCATTATTGTGTGTTGAATACTATTCTTTTTCTACGCCCATTCTCTACTTAATTCAAATTATATAAGTTTGTTTCTGCAGCATTTTCTGACAGTTGTAGAAAAAAATAAGTAATACATTATTTCCATAAACATCAACATTTAGACCAGAATTGTAATTAGCATCCTCACCTGCATGTACTCATTGTCTAATGCCAACAACTTGGAGTCAGTCTTAACACTCTCTAGTTCTTTAATTTGGCTTTCATTTTGGGAAACCTGCGATGGAGATTCAATTAAAACTATTGCGAGGATTTGAGATCCATTTTTAACACCCTGGCTACCCAAGGAATCGACATCGGTTAATACCCTCCCGGAACTGATTAATTTTAACCTAAAAATACATTTTTAGTTTTATTAGACATTGAAATATTCAGGTAAATACTAATACAAATCAAAATATCTTCACCAAAATAGTATAATTTATGTATAAAAACCAATCTATAAATGCACTTATTCATTATTATCCTCTACCTTTTTTGTTTGGTTTAGAAAGGATAGGTACATTTTTTATTAGAATATATTTTATCAGGATATATTTTTAAACAGAGATTTTGCTAAATAATTTACACTAAATTGGTGATGGTTTTTAGACAGCAATTTCAATAAAATTCTGTGTAAAAAATGGAACTTTTTTATTTTTAACTGTTTCATTAGTTCCAAAAAACGAAGATCATAGGTACCTTAAATAAACTTACCCTTCTCTTTCAATGTGCACCTCTTGCTTAATAATGTCTTTTAAATCGAGCGCTTTCAAGGACAAAAAAAGTTCCTTCGAAAAAATTCGTGGTGGAGTATTCTGTAGTAATACTTTAATTTTGATTGTTGCCAAACCTTTGTCTTGAAATAAATTTTTCTGTTTCAAATTTTCTAAAGAACTGGCCTGTAATTCCGTGATGATTTCCAAACAAACTTCCGTTGGAATTTTTAACTCTCTGCTAAAATCAGCAGAGAGTTTCTATAAAATAATTTTTATGTTATTTTTTGTAAAAAAATTTTGTTTGGGTATGTCATACCTTAATTTCTGATTCTGATGACTTGGATTCTTGAAAATAAGGCGGCAGCCACAATTTAATTCCATCTTTACGAAGTTTATCACGAATTTGAATAAGATGATCGTCCTTTTCCAATTGTGAGCTCATTTTGTGATCGTGTTTTCAACAGCTGATTCGCAATCACAAAAGTATCCTTGACACTGACGTTTCCATTTTGAATTTTTTTGGGCATAATAGTAAATAAACAAACCATTAGTCACGTTAGGTAAAGTCTTCATTTATTTTAAAAATGAAGAATTGTTGGCTTCTGTGCGACTATAAAAGATTTATTAAAAAAAAAAAAGAAGAAAAGATAGGGTTATAAGATATATCAAATAGGTGTCAAATAGATAAAAACATGGTTTTTCTATTATATATATCATATTTCTAATTGTTAACTTGAAAAAAATATAAGTTTACATACAAAAAAATGAGGTAACTAACATTTTAATCAGTAATAATTACTTTTAATTCCATACAATCTCTATTTATTTTAGAATTGACAATGAGGACTTCAGTCCTTCCGATTCCGATGAAGAATACACTGAAAATGAAAAAAATTTATTAAATAAAGTTAGAAATCCCAAAGAAGAATATTCTGACAATGAGGTACAACTATAATATCCTATTTCGTATTAAATAATTAAAAATAAAATAACATTTTTAGCAAGAGGTATATGGAGTTGGACCATCTGATGAAGACGAAGAGGAAGCAGATAATGAGAGCGATTTGGCTTTAAGTGACGTAGAAGGCCAACAAGATGACGATCTTCCAGACGTACGAGCTTGGGGCAAAGACAAGAGGCAATTTTACCAGACGGATTATGTAGACCAGGATTATGGTGGTTTTCAGGGAAAAGATGCCCATTTGGCTGAACTGGAAGAAGAAGAGGCTAGGAATTTGCAAAAACAGTTAGCCCAACAACTTGATGACGATGATTTTGCTCTGGATATATTTTCAAAAGTAAGTTATTTATATTTTAATATATTTCGATATTTTACTAATTGAATGCTTTCAGAAACCTAAGGAAGATGAAAAAGCTGGTGAAGAAATTGTTAAAACAGATATTTCTAAATTATCAAAGAGGCAAAAGTTGGAAATTATGCAGAAAGAGTCACCTGAGTTTTTTAGTTTGGTTGAGGATTTTCAAAGTACGTAGAACATAATTTGGTAAATGTTTAGTTTGAATTGTTCTCAATTTTGTCCTTTCATTGCAAAATATTTACAAAATGGGCTTTCTAAAAATAAATTTTGATGGTTATAGTCATACAACATACGTTTATACAGTGTGTTCCATTAAATTTGATCCATATGAGATTTTTTTTTAAAATTATGATTGACAAAAACGTCGTATGGCATTCACCTCTGCTTTTTTAAAAACTTAAAATAGCATATTTTAAAGTTGGCTAGGTATTGCATTAGTTATCTGTCAAAATCGGTATTTTTTGAGAAATCTTTCATTTTTTTTAATGCGAATTTGACAATAAACTATTGTCACTAGCCAATTTTGATGTAGGCTATTTTAAGGTTTTAAATAAGCAGAGGTGATTGCCTTACGACGTTGTTTTCCAATTGTAATATTAAAAAGAATCCCATATGGATTCAACTTTATGTCACACACTGTATATAATGGCATTTGTTGCTATTTCTAAGGCTCAAATCGATTACTTATCTTCTGGATAATGGATGTTTATTATTCTAAAATAGGCAAATAAGTACTATAGAAAGAAAAAAGCCACAGAACAATTACTAAATTTCATTAAAATTAATCAATAATTCTTCTAATAATATTTAAAATATGTTTTTAAAAATGTGAGGAACATTATTATTATTATTATTATTATTATTCTTCATTAAAAAATTATATTGGATCAGTGACTAAAATCCTCAAAATAATTGAAATTCCTTCAAAAGTAAGTAAAAAAACAACAAATATTTATAAATTATAAAAAAATCAGCTTGAAAATATGAAAGTGTTTAAAAATTAAAAACTTCAAAATTAAGAGCATTTCCAGCTTCTCCAAGATTGTTCTCTTTGATTACATGTAAAAAAAAATACAATTCGACCATAATAATAAAATTAGTTTTCAAATAAAGTAAGCCCCCGATGCTCTGACTGTGCCCAAAATCTAGTCAGCATGCCCAAGGAAGGATTAAAGATTAAGTTTAAAATTTGGTGTTTCTCTCTTTATCTGTTTTCGAGTTATCATGGATACAGACACCCACAAACATTATCGCAAAAATGGCCAAAACGGATTCAAGGAACCCCAAAATATAAAGATCCATCGAAAACTCAAGGTCAAAAAATTACAATTTCTTTACTTTCCTTACTGGATACAGCAAAGTAAAAATTGTGTTTAGGCATTGTTTTGCAATAATTCCATTTGTCTGTTCCACACTATATAGTGTATCATATTGCTCCACCATTGCCAATTTTAAATTAGTGCTCTTATCCATGAAAGACAGAATAAACTGGTGGATATGGCAACATATACATCTATGGTAATACAATCGGTTTAGAAGTGGCACATGGTTAAGCACTGTTGCCAAAGTTAAGACAGTTATGTTAAAGGCAACATGTAATATCTTAAAACGAAATTTAAATAATAATAAAACAGCCCAAACTATTTTTTTTTATTTTCAATTGACATGTCCCTTTCAAAACCATGATTTCTTTTTTACCCTATCGGGTCCCCTGCTATGAACCCAATCTGTCTGAAGCTTGGTGGTACTGCAGTCGTCAAAGTTTCACCATTTAAAGGTCCTACTGCTATACCTATTCACTCACTCATTTACAGTCATTCATTCTACGTCTTAGATGGTTAAACACTAGTCCCATGGCTGATCTCAGTGGTCACTCATGCACAACCTGACTGGAGTATTGACTGCTAAGCCATCTCCTGCAAAACATTGATTTAAATGACATCAGTTTCTAGAGGTTTAATATTTAAGTATCATTAGTGTTGTTTAAAAAATTGAGACGTGCTTCAACTAGACATTCACAGCATTTTCCATTTCAAATTGTAAAATATAGTGTATTTTAGGTAAAATGGTTATAGCTAAGGATTTCTTACAACCAATTTTGAAAAAAGCTGAAAGTGGGGAGATACCACACAGCAAAGCTGTTGATTTTGTTCAGACATATTATGAATTAATTCTCAAGTAAGTAATTTCTGAAAAATATATACTTAAGTTGGAATCATGTGACAAACTTTTTTTTTATTAATTTTAAGAAAAAAGTTAATCAATTTTTTTCAATCGAATATGAGGTGCGTTAGAAAATATGAATTTTACGCCAGAGAAGAATAAGGATTCATCCACAAAAAATGTTTCTAAAGTAGGTCTTGGAAAAATTTGGGTATATTGAGTGTTCAATTCTTATACTTTTTAAGTGTCAGTTTGGATTTAATTCAGAGTTGTGTTTACTAATTTATTTATTAATTGTTTTAAATTGTTTAAATTTAGAGATTGGAATCGAGAATGTTTATTATTTCTTGCTGATGATTCCTAATAAGGATGTAACCGATCCAGAAATGACATTGTCCTTAGTAAGCAAAATTAAAAGTAGAATGTTGAAAATTATTTTCTCAGCGGTTTAAAAGTATAAAACAAATGGAATCTTATTTTCCAGAGAAGATAAATGTAATTTTCATATTAAAAGGTAGTTTTCAAATTTAATTAACTTTTATTTACAACAATTTTCAATATTGTCAAAAATAAAAGTAGACACTTTATTCTTGCACAAAATTCACATTTTTGACTGAAAATATTTGTTATCTAATTATTGTATTTTAGGTTTTAGCGCACACATCATTTTTTAAGAAGATAAACTTTTTTCTTAAAATTAAAATAAAAAGATTTTGCATATGAATCCAACTAGTAGACATACTGTACTATAAATATAACCACTTTTTTCCAGCTACTGTACAAACATATACATGTACCTATTGCTGAAGTCTAGCAAAACTAACGTGCAAAATCATCCCTTGATTAAACGTCTGTACCAATACAGACAACTTCTTATGCAACTGGAATCTGTTTACCAAGAAATCATAAAGCCTCAAATAGAACTGATACTGTCTGAAGTAAGCATAAGCTTATTATTAGAATCTTAATTTACTACAAATTTACTAATTCTTTAGGAAGAAAAAGGTGATAAACTCGAAGATATCCAGCACAAGAAAAAAACTCTAAAACTATTGTCGCAACTTACTAATAAACCCAAGCAACCAGAGAAGAGAAAACCTGAAGAAGAATCGCAACCAATTAAAGTGAAGAAAGTGAAATTCGATGAACAAACCCTACTAAACAAAGATAAGAAGGATATTGAAAAGGAAATTGAAGATTCCGAATCTGGACCCTCCGAAGGTGAAGAATTGGAGGAAAACGTGGAGGAAAATGATGCCGAAGAGTCTACGAAACGTGCTATTACTTACAAGATGGCCAAAAACAAGGGGCTTACTCCGTATCGAAAGAAGGAGCTAAGAAACCCCAGGGTTAAACACAAATTGAAATATAGGAAAGCCATTATACGGCGTAAGGGTGCTGTGAGTATCTTTGTTATAATCAAACTATTTTAAATTTAGGTTTTCTCTTAATTTTCACAGTATTTCTCTGAAAACAATTAAAATATAATATGTTTAATTTCATGCCTTATATTTTTTAAATTGTTTTATGTTTTCTTTTTTTAGGTACGAGAAGCAAGAAAGGAATTATCGAGGTACAGTGGTGAAATATCTGGTATTAAGGCGACAGTCTCTAGAAGCGTCAAGATTAAAACGTAATTTTGTAAAAATAAATTTGTTTTTATTGAATGGCTTGTTTTATTTTTAACACCCAAAGTTTAAAAAAAAACTTCTCACACCTGGAGACCTTATAATATTATAGTAACAAATGCTTAAAGGATACCAAAATAAAATTAGTTTACTTGCATCGTAAAGTTATGGCAAGAATTCTCACTGTTAATGGCCTTGAACCCCGTTTTCAGTTACTTGTAGATAATGAATATGCAGGGCCGCCAAGATCCATGGTGGGGCCCCGGAGCAAAACACTGGCAAGGGCCTTTCCCCCACATATGGTAATCTATTTAAAGCTACCAAGCCCCACTGGGTCTCGGGGATATTGCTCCTCCCTCTTGTTGGACCTGAGACCATGTCTGCATAATATAGGTAGGTATGCTTGGTAATGTTCCAGAAGTTGAAGTATATACTTCAGGAAGTACACGTCTTTAAAACACGAATCACTCTGCAAGAATGCGTACCTGTATTGCCGAATTCTGGCATCACTTTGGTAATTCTTTGTAATACCAAGTAATATAAAATAATTCCATTAAAAAGGCGAGTAAAGTCAGGCCAAGTACTGCTAGGTAATTCCCGAGTTAATAGCATTTTAATTTCGTTTAATAACAATTTGAATAAAACTTTAGGTAATAACATTTTCGAAATAAACATAATGATCTCATCCTGTATAGTGCTAATGGAAAGTAAAACACGCTTGTTTAAAAAATACAATAACAGATTGTATTCATTAACTTGGAACATGAAATGTGTATTGAAAGTTTACAACTAGGATACAAATTTTATTTTTCTATTTAACACATTGATGTAGAATGACTGCCATAGCGGTTAACGAACTATCCTCTGGGATAACCCCTGCAATAGACGTTCACTTTCAAATATGATTTAAGGCGACATGTGATCGTTGTTTAATAGCTATATGCATATTAAGTCTACGCTTTTAGTTATCTTACCAGAGGAACAACTTTTATTGTAGCGGGAATTTTTAGACGTTTAGGCATGGAATTTCATATCGTGCCTCTACGCCTCTTTATCCAGGTAAATGTTTTTAATAGTGACACAAACAGTAAACGTTTCTTACTTGCTTTTACATAAATATATTTATTCTACTTTACGCTACGTGTTTCTTTGAATTAAAATCGTTTCTAGTATTGCTGTTGTTGACTAATAAGAACATTCTGTGAAACGACTTCAATAGAAGTCAGGTTAGATGAAAACTATGACAATTATTGTTGTCCCCGCATCTATATTTTTACTATAATTAATATATTTTATTACAGTCCTATAATTTAATAGTGAAGAAACATCGTGGAGTACCAATGACTTCTTTCTAATACCGTAGTTATTGTGCGAGAAGAATGGTGATAAATATTGATTCTTCTCATCTGTATCTAACGTGTTGGAGGGTGGGTTAACTTAGGCCTCACTAGGCTCATTGTGCATCCTCCTAAGTAGATAGGCACCTTGAGCCAGTCTACAGATTTAATGTAGTTGAGAACGTGCCAAGAGGTGCTTCTCTTATATCGGCTAATTCTCGCCGAACACAAATCTTCTAATAAATGAGAGCGCCGGGCAATCGTAGAGGATACCCACTAAACGTGACACATTACCAGTCTTTTTTGTACGCTGCAATATTTAAATTAGCAGTTACATAAACATTTTTTGTACTTCTTTTTAGTTACTTCCTGTGACAAATATAGATGTTAATTTTTATAAATCACAATAATATCGCATACAGGTCAGTACAGTGTGTACAAGTTACACATCTTTAATTAAGATGGCTATCTTTAGTCTTTACATCGCAGACCTGTTCGTCCCGCGTTCATAGATGGAGATAATAATGATCGCTTGCTACTTACGTAACCGGTAGTACCTACTTTAATTTATTTTTATTCTGTTCAATATAGATGAAATATAAAATATTTATATAACATGGTCCATATAAAATTTATAAGACAAGGATAAAAATAAAAAGGTATGAGAACTGTTATCATATTTAGAACGTCATATTTGATTCATTAATAGGATTTTATTTTATGGGCTTTTATAATACAAGAAGTAAAAAGACTTTCTTGGATATAACAGGAATGTCACATCTGGTTTGTTAAAAAGACATCATTATTGGGAATTTCCAATAACGTTGAATAACGTAACAAGGTAGCGCTGTAATGTCACCGCAACGTCTACATTGTTTCATCACAAAAGTAAACGTCCCTACTCTGGGCTTAGACGGTTATATGAGTCCATCCTTAAGTTCTCATTAATTTAACGTTTTTATGCATAGTGGGTATATGTTCAATTGTTTCATCTTGTTCGCACCCCCTGCAGAGAAGCAAGTCTGCAGCTTCTTGTTTCATCCCATCTTTCCTTGAATTTCACAATTAAATGTTCTTTAATTAATTAGGTTTATCACTACCGATGTTGTCAGTCCATTGGAAGGGCCAGGTCCAAAAAGTATTTGGTTGGCTGCCTTCTCATCTGGGCAAGTGAATCAGCAAGACGGTTACCTTTCGATGTGGCGTGACCTTCGATCCATCTTAAGTTGACCACATTGTTGATGGATACTTATTCAGCCAAAGCTTCATAACATTCTAATACTAACCCTGAATAAATTTCTGGTGATTTCTTTTGCGGGTATGAGAATCCCTGTGAGCTCGCTTTGAATTACACGCACGCACTACTGCTCACAGCCCATTTTATATTTAGGTTTAAGGATCTGAAGTATATTTCACATCCTTGCTTTGTTTTAGAATATTTATGCTTAAAAATGAGACAAACAAAAAGCCGGCTCAAGCTCTTACGAAGTGGTGTACTTTGTTTAAATGATGTAATGCTTCCATTTCAGGTCTATTTAAAAACTTCGTTATGACAGATATCGCATGCTCGTATTTCAAACCAGATTTGCTAGATATTTTAACCGTATATTAGTTACAACGCCTGAGTGAAAGGTATTAGTTCAATAAAGAGACAAAAGGCAGTATTATTATCGTGTCTTGAGCGATTCACACATTTGACTGTATTAAACTACCATTTGGCAAGGCGAGATCGACTTCAACCGCGATGCGACATCAAGGGAGACCAAAAATGGTCTCTTTACGTTTAAACACATTTGGGAAGCCACGACAGACGACACCACTTTTAGTACGGTAAGATTTGCCGCTTGCTGCCTGTCGTCTCCTTTTGTCGCGCGTTCCCAAATGGCTTTAAGATATTTTTAATTCGTGTTGAAGGTTGACCTTGCATTTCAAAAGGTGGATATATAATTGACAAAGTTTAAATTCTTAGTATGCAACAGGGCCGACTCTTGTTTCGTGTTTAAATGCAAAAGAAGTTGTATTTAATCTCAAAACTATGGTTAATATTCACAATAAATTGTTTTTCCTAGGATGACTATCCAAAGTAGGCTTTTGCGCTTCGAAATCCAATCGCAAGGTTGACGTTTTTCCTTGAACTGACATTAAGTGACAGCTTTGTTGCGCGCCTAATTTAAATTAGCTATATAATATAATAATATTTCTTTTTAATAAATTATTTTCAAGTTATTTGTACGAAGGTCCATGTTTTTTTGTTATCCAAATTAACATGAAGATGGGGACTATATAATAAAATTAAATCTTTTTTTATATTTATTTTATAAATTAATAAAAGTACTAAATTATTTTAAAATTAGTTATTTTGTAGATTTACGTTAGTGGCGGGTCAAAGAAAAAATATACTGTGCAACTCGAGTGGAAGTGGAGTTACACAAACTACTATATTTTGCTTAATCGATATTTAAAATCTGTAAAAATTGGTAACACGTTTCGTGTGTTTGTGGAACCTCGGATCGATATTATATACGGACTAGAATTTTTTGAATTTTATTCTTTATTTTTATTCAAATTATTTTATTTCTTTTATATGTACTAATTTTCCTTCTGGGTACAAACATTGTCATCTTTAATTTATTAAATTCTATGAAAATGTCTAATAAAAGCTATGCTTTTCAGGGTAATTTTTTGTCTAATTGCGGTGGACTATCTGATTTCAAAGCCTTAGGTACTGTGGATAGTGATCATAGAAAAATTAAATTTTTGTTGGATTTTTTTTGTATTTTTTTTAATCTGAAGTTTTACACTTTTACCCGCTGGATGCTCCAACACTGATAATGAGACCAGACGCCGTCGCCAGATTCAGATTATTCAGAATGACGATGACGTGTCTCTTTCGCGAAGTTTCCATGGATTCAGCATCAGTGTTGCCAGTTGTTTCGGTTTTTGCAGAATTAACTGAAAATTGTCCGAGATTCTGTCGAATAAAGGCGAGAAACCACTGAACTCTATTGAGAAACGCATTAGGTAATCGCGGCCCTGTCGCATCACGGTCTGTGCTAGTCTCTAGCGCACGTGGTCTTCTAAGAATCTATGGAAGAGACCTTAAGTTTTAACTTTATTAATGTTTGAGCAAAATTAAAATATACTTAAATAGGTATTTATGGTTCTTTTAAATTATCAAAAAACCTACTTTAAATTTATAAAAATAATTAACTTTTACAAACTTGTGATTTGAAAGCATGAAATTCACCTGAAACAGATATAAAAAACCGATTGGTCAAAATACACGGTCTTACGTTCAAAGTTATTTTGAAAGTGTGATATCAATGGTAAAAATAAAACTGGCAACACCGTTATACGTTTACGTTCAACAAATCTTGCGAAAATCCACTCTAGTCCCTCCCACTTTTGTTTTGAAGCCTGACTCGTCTCACAATCTCGTCTGTCGTTTGTGATCGTGCACGGTGCTCGTGTTTATTGTTCACAAGATATTCGCGCGCTACTTTAAATTTTTCAAATTGCTATTTTTGAGTAAAAAGCGAACGTACAGTATTTTGCATTTATTATTTTTTGAAATTATTCATCCGTTTTATTTTTTGAAGATATTATATAGATTATTTCATCAAATTTTCGATTACTTCAAATTGCATCATCTTTTTTGGACAAGAAAGAGTTCATTTACATTTTCAGTTCCTGGATAAATGC